TCTTCAGAAATTTGGACCCACCCTCCAAGACGGCGCCTTTCGGTTTTCCTGTTGGTTTCCTTTCCAAACCCCGGTACCAACTCTCAGAGTGACCCCACCTTGCGCTCGAGGTGCAAAGACACCGAAAGGAAAGCAACATGTGAAGAAAAGAGGAAGATGTAGTGGAAGAAGAGGCAGTTGGCGTTCGCTGGTTGCAGTTCACTGCCCCAATTCAAAGGGCAACAAAAGTATTTACATGGATCCTCATGCCCCATGCTTTACACATCTCCTTTCGGCTGCCAATGTTGGTTGAGTTTTAGGGGTCAGGTAACCCTTAGTTGGCGGTTTGGTGTTTGGTGGTCTGGGAAGTTGAACCCTGGGAACACCAATCCAAGCCACCGGTAACCACCCAGTTTCCCAGTGGCGCCTCTTTTTCCGTTTTTTTTTTTTTTTTGTTTTCAACCTGCGATCTGGGAGCAGCCCAGTGCAGATTCGTAGCTTGGCCCGAATCGCTGACCGTGTCCGCCAATTCTTGGCTCGGCTGGATCCAGATGGCACAAAGAATCCAACGGTGGGAGTCCCAGTCCAAACATTGCCTATACCCTAAAATTCAACCTCCATGAAAAGACTGGTGGACCCCCTTTTTTATGATGACACTCCTTAGTCAAGCAATACCGCGGTTAAATGAAGCCCCATTGTTTGAATCTCATCAAATGTCGGGGACTCAACAGAAGCTGCCAGAAGAAAACAGGGCCAAGGCTTCCAGAAGTGGCTTTCTCGTTTCAAGGCCAACCCACCAGTAAATGGAGCAATTTAGAGTTGGGGAGATCCACAAGGGAAGCCAGCAAATCGAGGCTTTTTTCGCTTTGGGGAAGTCCAGGCCCCTGAAAGCCCGGGCTTACACATCGAAAGAACCCTCGAAGCCAAAGCACGCGCCTCCGCCGATCGCAGCATGGCCCGGGGGCCAATTCTTGAAATCGGGCCGTGGAAACATGGTTGTTGTTGGGAAACATGTGGTGGTTAGCGGGAGATCAAACACTAAGACACACCAAAAACCACATTTTTGTGGTTAGCCATAGACACTTTTTTTGCTTATTGTGGTTTAGTGGTTGAAATCCAAGTCCACCTAGCTGGAAAAAAAACGACTTGCTCCCTGCTAAAATGCACATTGGTCAGCTTTATCTGCTAAAATTTCTCGGATTTTTTGCTCCCCAGACCCAACGTCCACCAAGGAAAGGGGATCCGGTGGCTTGGGATTCTCCCTAGGCCCGGAAATTGTTGCCATGCGGAAAACCAGCCCCAGGAAAGAACCAGCCCTAGTAATGTATATATATATATAATATGTTCATATATATATATATATAAAAAAGAACTAGCCCGTGGAAAGGCGGCGGGCGGGGAAAGGCTTTCCCGATTTTTTCCGGTCGAGCGCCATGCGATTAGATCCCTTGCCGTCCGTTTCTTGCATACTGCGATCCCTTGCCGTCCGTTTCGGACACAACTGCTGCTTTGGACACCACTGTTGATTTTTTTTGCAGATTTATGAGCAACAGACGGACTTTGGTCTTTTTTTCTTCGAAGGTGAGTGGCGCGGGGTCTACTGTCAATTTCCCAAATGGTTGGTCGTGGCAGCATTAACATTGTCAGTGGTAGATTGCAGGCTGCCTTGCGTAGTTGCCTTGCTGTAGTTCTTGTCTTACTTGCTGAGTTCTGGACTGCAATTAGTCACTTGTTGGGTGTAGTTGCCATTTTCGTGGCTCGATCGTTTGGTCAACCCATTCGATGGGGTTCATGAGTATATTTTGTTGCGGGTTTTGCGCCCCATTGACGCCCCAGGAGTGGTGTTCCTGGCTTGGGAAGGATCAGCTTTTTTTCAATATCGAGACCAAACAACAGAGGACATTTGAGAGGAATCCTGGCTTCTGGTTGGTGTTCGGCCCATGTCGTGTAGAAATATTCCTGGTGTTTGTGCCATGACAGTCTGTCGCGACTACAATGCGTGCTACAGGGGGCGAGCTGGATTGAAATTTGGCTGGCATCCCACATTAATTGGTTGAGAGGGCGCTGCAATTCGGACCCACTTGTGGTGAGGGTCAAATGGGAAGGTTTCTTCCTAAAACTGAGGAGAGTATTTGCTGGGTAGAGATCAAAAAGTGGCATTCCCCAATCTTGTGTTGCTGATTGAGGGTTCCTTTCAAACAACCCTAATCTGCGGTTTTCTCATACACTGCTCACTATGCGCCCGAATCAGACCGCGCAGCCTGGGAGGCTGAGCTGGGGGGCGGCCGAACTGAGCCAGGTGTGACACCCTTCGTTTGCGCTTAACGCATGCGATCGTGTCTTGTAGTTGTTTGTGTGTGTATATAGTCTTGTTTGTGTTTGTGCTATGTTGTAGAATGTCATTTGGAGCAGGTTTTCTCCCGCCTTTGCCGCCGAACACAAACACAAGCGAAGCGCAGGCGCAAGCACAAGCAAGCAAGAATACGGGTGTGTTTGCTGCGTTTCTGTTTATGAGGGGAGAGGGGTGGCTACCGGGCACTCTACAACACACAAACAAGACTACAAACACGAACATCCACAACTTGGCGCGGGCACTGAGGTGATGAAGCTGTCGACTCCTTGGGCGACCCTGGCAGCCGGGAGTCTCATTGGTTGACAGGTCGCCCTCATGCGAGCTCGGGCAGATTTGATTTGCTTGGGTGGGTTTCGCTTTTCTTCGGGGGGGACCTCTTCCCCAAAAAAAACACAAAAAGAGACTTACTTGTTGGTTTCCCTTTGAAACCGCAAAAGCGAGGTACCCTGGAAAAAAAGAGACACGCCCAACGTGTGGCACACGTTTGGGGAAAGCTTGTTGGGAAGATCGTTTTAGTGCGCCAACCACACAAGGTGTAGTAGCGCGGTGCTTTTTCGGTGGCCAGTCGTAGCCAGCTCGCATGTTCCAGAGGGGTACTTGGCTCAAGGTTTGTAACCTGGGACTTGTGTCCCATTGCATTGGCTGGATGGGTTCCACGTGCAGCATAGCACGGCGCCCCATCCGGCAACAACGAGAGTTGCTGCTTCGATGTTTTTGGTAGTGCAGTTGTAGCAAGCTGCTTTCATCTTTGAAGTTCATTTTTGAATTTTGTGCTCGCCAGAAGTCATAGATAGAACCCCTCAGAAAAGCCTCAAATCTGATCCCATCATAGGCTTGCGGCGAACAAGTAAGCGCTTGTGCGGCTTTGGCAGTGACATTTTGGCTGCAGCTTCCAGATCACGATTCTGAAGGAACCGAAAATATGGGGCTTGCAATCAGCGTCTTCAGGGTGGAACCCTGGCCAGGTTGTAAACAAATCAGAATGGCACAACTATCAGAAGGTAGTTCGCAGCTAACAACTTGAAGGACATCATCCAAACGATGGTGATTATTGATAATGACATGTGTTTGGCCTGACAGGCAAAGTTATCGTAGTTTCTGAGACGGGGGCAACCTGAAGGTAGTCATGCAGAAGCTAGCAGGGTTTAAGAGTCAATATGGGCCAAGCCCATGGGTGAAGCGTGGTCGGGAGCGATTGTTCACAATGTTTCTGAATTATCTGGAGCTGGTCACAGATGTTTCTCGGATGCCTTGGAAGGGAGGGCCACATTTTTCCATGGTGTCGTCTTTAGCCTTCTTTTTCCCCTGCGCTAGGGGTCACACCCCCCTGAAATGCAGACCCCATACAGACGCCCTCCAGAGCATCCGCACCCACGCACCCATTTCGGAGGACCCTGGACCCCCAAATTTCAAGGTGGGAGTCTGTCCATCCGCCCAGAAATGGTGGTATTTTTCACCCCCAATTCCTCTTATAGTTTGAAAAAACCACGGGCAGCTGCTTCAAATCTCTCTCGCGGCTGTACTTGGATGGGAAACCTTTAGTGGGTACGTGCAGGGGAATCATCATTCCAGGGGGCTGCTTAGGTGGTGCGAAATGGGCGTTGTCCGTCCACTGTATCTAAATTGGGTCACCACCTTTTTTTTTATGGGTTTGAACACAAGTGGGTTAAAAAGCCTCAAGTTCTTCATGGCCCCCCGTTGAGCTGAGGCGCTTTTTGTGCTGGCTGTGGCGCTATGGCGAAGAGATAGGCCGACAGCTCGAACACATGCGGCAAGTTTCTGTGATTGTTGGATGCTACCCACTTTAGTTGGTTTAAAAGGAAACCTAAAGGATGGCTGGGTGAATTATACATGTGTGTGTTGCTTTTTTTTGAGGGTACCCTTGCCACCTTGGGTTTAAGGGAGGTCAAAGGAAAAGCACATGTTTGGGGGAGTCGGCATACTCATGTGGCGTGTGGTACATGAGCCGCTTGTAGTTTAGTGTAAGTTGGTTTTTCGGGAACGGGAATGGGGACAACCCACACAACGCCCACAACAAGCAGGGTGTTGCTTTTTTGGGGCATGGAGACCTTTTCAGGCTGGTAAGGGATTTTTGATTGTTATGTGAGCATGTGTTTTTGTGCTGGGGATTGAACAGGGACACTAAAAGAGGGAACGTTTGGTTCTTGCGGTTGGTTGTATCGATATGACAAGACACCAGGGAGAGATGCTTCCTGCTGCTTTTGTATTTGTTCTTTTTGGTTTAAAGGGAGTTTCATAACTACTGGATATTTTCTCTTTTTGCAGGGAACTTAGGTCGTTGTTTGAGTTGGTACCCAGTTTTTGTCTTTTTTGTGGTGGCACCCAAGCGGGAAAACCAAAAATATGGGGAGTGGCCCCAAAACAACGACACAATGCAACCACGGACACTCGGAGAGGAAGCCGCAGCCTGCCAAACAAGACAAAGCTATAAAACCTTGATGGATGGTAGGAGGCAGTGGGTGAGATTATCCGCCCTTCAATTTCGTCTCTTGGTTTTGGTAGACTAGACTCCAACGCCAGTTTGACTTTTGAGTCAGGTGCCTTGCTTGCTGGTTGGCTCGGTGCACCCGCAGCTCATTGTGAGCCAAGAGAAGATACGTGTCCTTCCATCCATGCTCAGTGAGGCGACTCATTTCGATACCGGACCATGGCAGCGGACGCAACTGCATCGCCGGATGCATCGCCGGACGGCGACGGCGACCGGCGAAGCGTCGCGCAGGTAGTGGAGGACATTGGATATGGCCCCAGCCAGGTGCTTTGGGCGGAAAAAAATCGACGCAATGTTGGACCTGATTCAATTTGACCCCCCCCCCCCCAACAGTGCCAGTTATTTGGACCCTGCTTAAAGGAATGGGTGGGGGGTTGGGTTTGGTTGAGGTTCATTTACAAGCCCTGCCGATCGGTTGCCTCTGAAGCAACCCTGGCGGCTGAAGGCGCAAGGAGCCGATGTGGCACATGGATTCGCAAATTTGGAGCTAGGTGTCCTTTTTGTTGAAGCCTCCTAGAGAGCCAAGTTGCTGCATTTTTGAGTCACTGGTCTTTGGGGTAAATTGGATGGAAAATACAGCAACTGACGATCCAGGCTGTTAATTGGTTTTAAAGAAGCCGAGGGGTAGCAGACATTTTTTTTCGCACAACCAACAGAAACGAGCCCCTCCCTGTCAAGGAACTGTCCGTGGGTCTTTTTTGGACAACCAACATTCGCGCGCTCAGAAGAGCGAGGTTGCAGCGCGCGCCCATTCGTCCTGTTTTGTGTTTTCCGTTCAAAGACAAAAGTTGGTCATGGCGAAGAATGCACCCTTGGAATCAAATGGAAACGACTCACTTGACAGCACTTGACGATTTCCTGGACTTTGGTTGCAAGCAAACAGCTTGGACTTGTGGCTTGCCACGCTCGATGGGAAGTAAGGTCCAGAAAGACACCATTTGGCTTTCCAAGAGTACTTGGAATCTTGGTTTCGCCGGGTGTTTCCATGTCTTTTTTGTTTTCACCTTGTTTCACCTTTTCATGTCTTTTGTTTCTTTTCAACTTGTTTTAAACTTGGACCTTCAACTCCTACGACAAGCAAGTTTCCCTCTTTTACGACACCCCTTCCTTCGCGGCTCGTCCGGCCTCTCAAGCAACCCGCAAGAAAACCCGCGCGAAAACGAACCCCGCAGTGAGGTGGCCATGGCTCAAGACCAATGGGATGGATCCCATTTTGGGGGTTTTCGGTGCACCACCCATTTTAGAACCTATTTAGTGCTTGGATTGGGATTCACTGGGGATACGATTTGGATTTTGTCCCATGGCCATATGTACACCATAGTAAGGAAAAGTCCCAGCCATAAATAGTTGCGGATATCCGCCTTCTTCATTCTTGAAGCATGGTTCTGGGATTACGACCATTTTAATACCGATCGGTTTTGAGCAAGTCACTCAGGTACGATTTGGATTTTGCCCCATGGCCATATCGCAAGTAAACCAACCACAAGCCCGGGGAAATGTGCAGGGAGTGTCTTCCCTCAATATTTATTTTTACATGGTTCCGGGTCGACCATTTTAATACCGATCGGTTTTGATTGTGACACAGTTGACTAACAGGGACGGTGTCCCACTTTGCAGGCAACACAACTCTTTGATCGAATGCAGCCTACAACTCTGCTATTGGGTTGGATCTTTGACAAGAAGACTCTACCACTCCAGGTGGTCACCTCGAGCCTGGTGAACGGCTCGTGGCTGGCGGACGGCTGCGAGCTGCTGGTGCTCAGCTCCGTGGGCGCGGCCGTGGCGGCGGAGTGGCAGCTCTCTGCGATGCAGCAGGGCATGCTGCTGCGCCTCGGAGCACAAGTGTGTCCCATATAGTGTACACACATATATGTATATATATATATATATACATATATGCTACCCCCCCCCCCCCAGGTACCCAGGTCTGGGCTTGGACACAGCCTTCGTACGTCCCCTTCAGACCCTTCCATCTTGGCTGGGGATGATGAAGGGAAAGGGATGAAGAGAGGGCTGGCAGTCAATGGTCAAGAATTATTGATGAGATGTAGATAGGAGACGGAAGTAACCAAGAGAAAGATATGAATGGGACAGGAAGGACTTCTGGAAACTCTTTCTTCTTGGTCATCATCTTTTCCTGTTTCTCTTGTCCTATCATTTCCCTCTCTTTCTAATTTTCAAGACAAAGATAAAGGGAATTGGAGGCAAATGGAAAGAGAAAGGAAAAGACACATGATAAAGAGATAGAAATATGATGGTTACCTCGTCAACAGGAAAGACGAGGATGGGAAAGGAGGAAATGCCCCTTTATTTCCACGTCCTTTCCATATCTTTCCCTTCCTTAATATCTTCGCCTGGCGGTGTAATCCCAAGAGCAGGAAAGAAGGAAATGGGAATGTTGGACCTTCCTTGACTGGCGGTTGAACTCAGAGAATGATTCGCAAGTACACGGTCAACCTTCATTGGTGAGTGGACGAGAGAAGCATGTCCTTTCTCACTCACCCATTTCCCCGATGCCTTCGCTGCCTTCGCTCGCGGTAGCTTGTCAACAATGGGTGAGCACACATGATGAAGAGCGAGCCCATTCCTTCGTCTAACCGTTCCCTCTCACTCCATCATCTCACTCCATTCAATTTCTGGAGTTCCTGTCGCTATGAAAGACTCACGATGGAACGGAGAGAGAGAGGGAAGGACATTGTGAAGATAGCTGTCTCACGGATAAATCTCCTGTTTACCATTATGTTTTTCCTTTTACCTCAGATACAAATAGATTTACTATTGGCATTTTATAGAAATCTTATGGTTATTTATCTTTCTAGTCTTTTATTATTTCTTACTATTTCTTTATCTTTTTACTTTTAATTACTATTTCTTTCTCTTTTTATTATTTATCTTCACCATCCGCTGGCCAGTTCTTTCCAGCGGTTGCAAATGATTTCCTCTTCCTTCATCTCATGGACACCCCCGAACGAAGAGAGGAGTGGGAATGGGAGAGAGAAGAGATCCATTCCCTTCCACCGTTCATTCGCTTACATCTCAGTCACTTGTCCTTCCTTTCCACCTCCTGGTCGTTGGAGGTGAGGAACAGTTAAGATGTCAAGGATTTTACAGATAACCGTCTATAACCAAGAATTCTTGACCATTGACTGCCAAGAAAGAAATCATCCAAGAAGCAACAGATGAAGAGAGGAATATCATGGACGAAGGAACATGAGGATGACGAACGAAGGTACATCTCTTTCCATCTTCTGGACTTCTCGCCTGTCAACAAATCCCAGATGCTGAATGGGACCTAAAGAGAAATCCCACCTTCATCTCCCATCTGTCTCTTTCCTTTTTGTTGCTTAAGGATGAGATGGTACGCAGTAAAAGATAGGACCAGAGGATATGAAAGGTAAATGACATGAGAAATAGAGAGTTAACGGGAAGAAAGAAGGAATGGAATTTTAATTGTTGACCACAAACCCTTTAACTGCTTCTGGATGAGTATCTCGGTAGACAGCTATTTCCTTTTACCTCGTGCTCTAGGATCTTGGAGATTACAGTGAATAGAATGGAGATAATGGGATGTGATGAACCTTCTGTAATAGCGGTTCATCTAAAGGTTAACCGCTATGACGAAGAGATGAGGAAGGTGACAAGGAACATCAGATGGGATTTAACGAATTCGCGAAGGGATGAGCCAAGAGGTAGAAAATGATGAAGTGACGGTGAGCGAGGAATGGCAATCTCTTTCTCTTTCCTGTTTCCTCGCTGTCAAGAATTCTTGTTTATAGACGGTGAGGGATGAGATGTAGATAGGAGACGGAAGTAACCAAGAGAAAGAGATGAATGGGAAAGGTTAGCCGCTATGACGAAGAGATGAGGAATGAAGCGGTTGTATGTGTTTCCTATGCCTTTCCTTTCTCTTTCTTATGGTTAGGATATAGACGTGAAACGCAAATGTTGCACAACAATTGGAATTTGTTGCGCAACATTTCCCTGGACCAAAAAACCAAAAACAAAACCAAAAAACCAAAAAGTAATCCCAGCCATGGTGGGGGCTAGGAGTTTTTTTGGTTGTTTGGTGTTTTGGTTTTTTTGGTCCACAAAATGGCCTTGCAGAAAATGCATGAGTTCAATCAAAATACACCGTAAATATCAATGGTTTTCATACATGATGCAACAACACCTGGGTACTGGGGGTACCATATATATATATATATGTGTGCATGTATATGTGTATATGTTTAAATGCATATGTGTATATATATATATAAACAAACATATATATATATATACACACACTACATACATGCATCAATATGTGGCCCGAGCGAGCATCATGGGCCTCCTATTCAGCAGGGATATGTTCACCTGCTATTCACTCACCTCCTGAGGTCATGTTGACTTGAGTTACTTTTTGGGGTTGGTCGCCATTTTACTTGAGTCACTTTGTTGGGTTTGGGTTTGGGTCACTTTGTTGGGGGCCATCCACGCAGGAAGTGTCGGATCAAAACGAGGTCGGCGGGTGTTCAGAGCGATCAAAAGGCAAGCCCAGCCATCCGGTTCACAGGGGTGTTTCGTTTGAGGGGGCTCATGATTTGGGGTGGAAACAGGGAAAACCAGGTGGAACACGCACCCCATCTTCGGCTTCCCCGAGAAGTGACAGACACTCACGCCCGGAGTTCGGGGACTTCGAACTTTTTGGCTCAAGGCCATGTGGCGAACAGCAAACATGGACTTCTTTTGGCCAGTCCACTGAGGAAGTGAGTACGTGCCCAAATAGGCAGTCCCCCATAAATGGCCCCCATTCTGGGCCTGGTCCTGTCAAAAAATTCGGAGGCCTCATAAATGGCAGTTTGCCCTGCTTCGGTTGAATGCAACCCAAACTTGGTACCATCAAGAAGTCGCCCTGGCTCATCCAGACGGGTGCCTAGATTTCCGATCTTCTTGGGATGCCTTTTGGTGATCGCAATCGCCTTTTGAGCCAATTGAGCGTCTCCTTGGTAATGTTCCCAAGGGCCCAGGCATTTGGTGGTGCCCTGCTTGCCTTTCTTTCTTGTCTTAACCAGGAGCCCTCAGTCAGGCTCCATGTTAGTGGACAGGAGGGTAACCAAAATGGGGCTCCCTTTTTTTTCCAATGGCAACTGGGCGAAAAAAGCCAACCCCACCACACCAACTGGGTTTGGGCCTTTTGCGGCTACATGGCTTTTTGTCTTTCTCGGGGAATGTCTAGATGTTGGAAGTGAACTGTGTGGGATCAGTCCTACAAGGAAAGTACAAGTTGGGTGGTTCTTTCGCTTCCCCCAGTAATGCCCTTTTACTGTTTCTTTTTTGGGGGAGGGTTCCTCTACAAAAGTAGACTACAGAAAAAACAAGTCGGGTACCCTTATTCTAACCTCTCTACTGGAGGACCTAGTCATGTTCTTGGTTTTCCTTTTGTGGAAAGCTGGAGGTTTGTGTTGCTTTCGGATTTGTATGGCAATGGTAGCTTTCACACTTGGAGAACAATGCTGATGCGCAGCCTTCAGATCTCCAGACGCTGAAAGTTATGTTCATGAAAAGGACGCACGCTCAGGGTAACGTGCTTCGTTTCTGTTTTTGTGGTCCCTGGCAATTTGTCTTTCATGCTAAATAGCTTATATCTTTACTTGTTTTACAAGAAAGCCAACAGGGGATTGCATTTTGTGTCCTACAGGGGATTGTTTGCACCCCTTTTTTTGAGTGGTCAAAAGGACCATCGAGATTCGAAGGCGGGGTCCGATGTTCCAACGTTTGGTGTCAAATAGGTTGAACCTCGGACAATGAGTAGTTTTGCTTTCAACAAGTTGGTTGGGCCATCCAAAACATCCCAAATCGCGCGTTGGGATCTTGCGGGGCTTAGGTCCGCGGTGTACGTGGGGGTGCTGCTGGGCAATTTGTGCAGCGGCCTGGTGGGAGACACCTTGGGCCGCAGGGTGGCGGTGCTGCTGTGCGCCTCGGAGTGAGAGAAGGTCCCCCAGAGTTGGACGAAACCAGAGGAAACCGTCCATTTGCTGAAGAATTATTTTGTTGGTTTTAAAGGGAATCTATCACTACTGTAAATATTTTCAGTTTTTCCAGGAGTCTTAACCAAATGGAGAAAACCACAGAATTTATCGTTCTTTCCAACATCGATGGCCTCATGTTTTCGCCAGCTGAGCAATGTGCACTTATTACTTGTTGGGTTGGTTGGGATTTCCTTGCAAGCGGAGTTGTAATGCAAGTGGCCAGAGGAAAAGTCTCCTTTTGAGGGGTGGGGGGTGGGGGCTTGGAGGGGTGTTGGCGGTTGGGGCAAGCCTGGGCTATTCAAATCTGCAAGATCCGGGTTAGGGTCCATGCGTCCCGATTGTCGTTTATAGCGATGGATTTGGATTGGCCACCCCACTTTGAACAGGCCAGTGCCACCGTCGCAGATAGGTGGGGATACCTGGGTTAACTCGAGTTTGGGTCACCTTTAGTACCAGGTGCTGATGTCGACTTAACTGTTTCACCACGTAGTTGAATGATGTCTACCAATTGGTCTCTAGTTGATTTCCATACCCCAAACTGATGTTCTGGGATTGTGTTGCTTGGTTTGTTTTGTTTTGCTTTGCTTTGATGTGTGTGGTTTGCTTGCCTGCCTGCCTGCCTGCCTGCCTGCCTGCTCGCTCGCTTGCTCGCTTGCTTGCTTGCTTGCTTGCTTGCTGGCTGTTCATGTTGAATGGTGTGCGGAAACAGCCAAGCCTTTTGTTCACATACCAAGGGTTGAACATTTGTGAACAATGTCCAAACCTCAAGGGCAAGTCGGGGGCATTTGTGAAGGACAATTGGGTGCGTGTTGTTTGATGAGGATCCCAACATGGTGGTTTTCCAAAGGAAGTGAACATGGGGCACCCCTATACAACCACTATATAGTCAACTTGTTTTGGGTATGTGATTTCGGGGTATGTAGAAAAACCCTTAGATCCTTGTCATTGGTTGAACAAAGAAACTCGGGGCATCCTCCAAAAACAGAGCTCCACCCAGCTAGAATCTTTTGGGGGGCTTCCTTTGCTTTGCCGATGTGCGAAACCCATGAGACCCGGTCCAAATGACGAATGCCCATTTTGACGCTAGGTTTGGACCGCGCTTGCTTTTTTTGTTTTGTTTTTTTCTTGTGTTTCCTTCGGGTCAAACAGCTTTTGACGCTATAGCTCCACTCCCAGTTTTGAGCCAAACCACTACACAACGCATGGTTCTTGGCAGCAGCCTGCTAAAAAAGTACACCAAGCCAACAAAGACACGTTTTTAGTTGCCCCACAAAACCGTGATTCACAGATTAACATACCATGTGACTTGTGACCATTGCCTCGAGTCAGCGGCCAGTCAGGCTTCCCGGTGATTGCCATAGTGAGCGTGGCCAGCGCTGCGGTTCCTCGATGAAAGAGGAAAACAACCTCGGGTCTTCGGCAGAAGGGCAGCCGTCGTTTAAATAATTATTGGTTTGCCAGGACCTTCCAAAACCAAAATGGCCAAATAGGGGCAATTCAGGCAGAAATGCACGGGGAAATGGGTTTAGAGCGGTTTTTATTCCGCTTAGGTTTCCCTTGCACAGAAACCTAGGCGTGGCCAAACCTCGTGGAGTTGCGCCAGAGGATGGGAGTTGGGAGCATGCTGCGTAATCGATTCGGGGGTAAGCGGAGCTCACCGTGAAGGTTCTTTAATTGTGGATAAAACTTGCATAACTGTGGTACGGCTAAAACCCTTGTTTCCCCACTGCCCGCAAGGAATACCTGCGGGAAGATGGGATTTCTAAATGGAGGTTCAACGGTCCGACTCTTTCTACGTCCACTTGCCTTTTGCCTGACGTGCTGACGTGATGATGGGACCCTCAAGCGTAATATTTCCCCCTGGATCCCACCCCTGACCACTTGCTTGGTTCCCCCCCCACAAACTCACTTGGGTGTCTTTTTTTAGAGCCCCCGCAGAATACAGTTGTTTTCTTTGGTTTCCCTTTAAACCCCTTTTGACGGGATACCCTCAGAAAAAATTGGCCACCTCCGCTTGCCCAAGTGAGTCGACGAAATCAGCCCTTGCGAACTTTCAATTTGAGTCCCCAGGCCGGGAGCTTTTGGACGACCCTTTTGAACGTTGAAAGGAAAGGAGCCAGCAGTTCGGCCAGTTCAGAACCTCGGATGCCAAGGTGACTCACCTCAGTTCAGTGGCACCAATTATTTTTCCAGTTTTTGTGGTGGCCCCACTGAACAGGGTCCAAGCCCCAAAAAGGGTTCCTTTTTTCCCAGGCTTGTCTTGGCCGCTCGCAGCGCGGAAGTCAGGTGACACCTCAAGAGTCCATTTGTGCTGAAGTTTTTTTTTTTTTTTTAAATAACATGTTTCCCCGGCTAAGCTTAAAGAGAAGCAGCACAGACTTTAAAACATGGTCGACACTGCGCAGTTGAACGGGGGGGCTGGTTAAACAAAAAAAAAACATGTTTCCTCCATTTTTCCGGGGGGATACATTTCTGTTGTTGTTGTTGTTGTTGTTGTTGTTGTTGTTGTTGTTGTTGTTGTTGTTGTTGTTGTTGTTGTTGTTGTTGTTGTTGTTGCTGTTGTTGTTTGTTTGTTTGTTTGTTTGTTTGTTTGTTTGTTTGTTTGTTTGTTTGTTTGTTTGTTTGTTTGTTTGTTTGTTTGTTTGTTTGTTTGTTTGTTTGTTTGTTTGTTTGTTTGTTTGTTTGTTTGTTTCCTGGACCTTCGTCCTCCTGAAAAAAAAACGCAGTTTCCGCCTTTGACTGTATATTCGGGAAATCGTAGTACTTTTTACCGCAAAAACCTGAAACTCCTGAAACTCCTAAAAACCACACTATTGGCACTGCTCGCGGCCTTTGACAGATTAAAGAAGCTTTGCAGGGGTAAACGACTTAATGCAGCCCGCAAGTTTGTCAAAACATGCAACGGCGGTCCAAAGTTGTGCGGTGCAGAAAAAGCGTACCCATTTTGACCGCAAAACGCCCGCAAATTTCCGCAAAACTCCCGCAAAAACCCGCAAACTCCCGCAAATCAGAAAAAGTCGTAGTTTTGATGACCAAGGCATCCCATGGTGTTCAGTGGCACGTTCGCAAGTGCTGCGAGGTGTATTTACTTTGTATGGCCAACGTGCGACTGGAAACGATGCAATTCGTATGTGTTTTTGCCCAAATTGTAGCTAAACCACTGGAATTCGGTAAATCGTAGGGGTCTCCTAAAACACCCAGAAATTTCCCGGAGTTTGAAGGTCCAGGTTGTTTGTTTGTTTGTTTGTTTGTTTGTTTGTTTGTTTGTTTGTTGTTGTTGTTGTTGTTGTTGTTGTTTCTCCGCACCATGGTTCCCCCTTCTTCTTCTTTTGTCGTTTCTCCTTTTTTCTCCGAGCGCAGGAAAAACGGGCAACTCGGGCGGCTCACTCGGGCGCCTCGGAGCTGAGGCGTGGAGCTTTGGGTCGCTGCTGTGCCTGCGGTTTCTGGTGGGCCTCGGCTTCGGCACGGGCCAGCCCTCGGCGGTGGCCATCTTGATGGAGGTGTCCCCCGCCAAGTTCCGGCCCCTGAACCAGGCCATGGGCCAGGTGTGTTGTTGTGTTGTTTTGTTTTTGTTGTTTCGTTGGTGGTTGTGTTGTTTGTTGTTAAAAGTTGTTTTGTTTGTTGTTCTGTTTTATCTTTTTGTTGGGGGGGAGGGGGTGGAAGGGGGGGTGTCGGAATCCAGGGTCCAACCAAATCAGATGCTTCCTGTCTGGTTCGGGGGATGCTCTGGAAGGCAGCGGCTCAGTCAGGCAAGTTGTCTGTTTTTCAGCGGCTGAGGTTTCATCAGCTGTGAAAATCGGCGCCACTCTGTGGAATCAAACGGCTTTGTTGTTTTAAGCCAAGCACTTCAATCGCGTGCCATGGGCCAGCCGGAGGACGCTTCTGCGGTGTCATCCGCAGGGCCTGGGACACGCAATCGCAATCCACAGCTTTTTAGCGGGCCCCGCTTTTTCAACACAGCCTTCTTTTTGGGAAAAATCACACATCAGGAGGCATAGACTCTGAAACAGGTTGTTGGGCTGGGAAAACATGGGACGCCCTTTTATGGCAGCCATTGTAAACAAATCCAACAGGTGGGTCAACTCCGACACACAGTCATGACTTCCTCAAAGCCGCATGGTCGACAGCCCTCGGAGTTGCTCGCGTATTCAACGGCGTGTTTACTTCAGCGCTTACAGTTTACAACTACCTGTGGGGTATTGTTAATCAGTCCCAGTTTATTAACTAGGTCCCCCAGCAGTGCCCTTTCACCCTTTTTTGGGGGAGGGTTCCCCTACTAAAATAGACTACAGAAAAAATGGTACCCTTATTCCAACCTTTCTACTAGAGGATCTAGTTAATATGGGGCTGTTTCCCTCCAAAAGTGACGATTCCCCACTAAAGCCAGGGACACCCCGGTTGAGTAATATGGTGTCAACATTTCACTATATGGGTCTGTCTTTCGTTGAGGGTCCTTGTTTTTTTGGTGGTTTTAAAGGAAAACCAATAGAAAAACCACGATTGGAAAGACATGCCCATTTTAGATTTCCCTTTGTCACCTACAATGGCAACCTCAAGAGAAAGGATACCGCCGCCTACAATGCAAAGAGAAAGGGATACAGTCACACTGGACACACGCGATTTTATTTTTTGTACAGGTTGATCCCGCCCTATGTTCACCCGTCGTTCTTTTTGTACACGACGCAAACTCCCCAATTTGTGTTTGGCCTTCTCTGAAAAGAAGGATCCCTGAAACTAATGAGAAGTAAGTGCTTAATAATCGCTTGGCGTGCCCACGGTATGGTAGGCAACGATGCAGTTCAAGCTCTCTCTCTCTCTCTCGCTCTCTCTGTTTTTGGCCGGGAAAGATCCTTTGAAATAAAAAGTCCGAAGTATGGCGGATGTCCTAAAGATATTGCAAACAACGAGCCTCCTAAACATATTGAGGGAAGAAACTCCACAAGCACATTTACCCGAGCTTGTGGTTGGTCTTGCAATATGGCCATGGGTCAAAATCCACATCATACCCGCAGTGAACATCCCAATCCAACCACTAAAGTAGGTTCTAAAATGGGTGGTGAATTCACCTACCAAAATGGGATCCCACGGGTTTCGGCAGCCACAGCCATTTGGACCGAGTCTCATGGGTTTCAGCTCTGGTTTCCCACAACCTGAAAATCGGTAAAGCAAGGGACGCCCCTTGAAGGGTACCAGTTTTTTTTTTGACCAATGGGATCCCATTTTGGTTGGGTTTTCGGTGAAATCACCACCCATTTTAGGTTTCCTATTTTAGTGGTTGGATTGGGTCCCGTTCACTGGAGGGTAACCGGGGTTTTGACAACAGCCATATGCCAAGTCGATTTCGGGATCTCAGAGGCCTTAGCCCAGCTGGCCTTTGCCCTGGGCGAGCTCTACTGCTGTTTGGCCCTTTGCCCGATTCGCCCGATTCGTTTTCGATCGACCGGGCCTTCGAAGCATTGGGGACAAACGTGGCCACCCGAAGGGTTCAAACGGTTTTTGGTTTTTGGGGCCCCAAGGGCCGAGACGGTTTTGGGTCTAAATGGGTCGTTGTTGAGGGCCCTTGAGGAATTGGCCGGGGGTCTTTTTTGAGTGGAGGGTCCGAAATTCTGCATTGGAGGGGTCATGACCCCTAGGGCATGAGTTTTTTTTGGGGGGGCCCCTCAAATGGCGGGAAACGTGTTTTCCCGGTTTGGATTTCCCTGAAAGCCACCAACAAAGATGGTGCCCGCGAAAAAGGCCACATCAGTTTTAGATTTGGATGAAGCGTGGTTCATCCCAAACCGAATGACGTCAATTGAAGTACCCCTCAAATCTCACAATCATGTCCAAGTTGGTGTTCCCGGTGTCCACGGTGTTCCCTTGAGAGGTTTGGGACTCGGCGATCGGGGGCAAACAAAATGCACTCACCATGCTTTCTTGCTTCGCTTGAGGATCCTGCTTGCCATCTGCGGCTGGTGTCTCCTTCTGGTTTACCAGCCCGAAAAGTGTACCGAGCCTCAAAAAAGGACAGATCCAGACGTTGGTTTAGATTGCGAGAACGTAACTTTGGGCATGCCTGCATGTTCGTCTTTGACAGCCTTGAGGAAAGCTGGGACACTCAACACCGGTCAATCTTCCTGGTTTGTGACTTCCACGGTTTTTTGGGTAGACCGGGTTTCAATTCTGACGTTGGCGGCTGTTGCATTGTGCTATTGCTGCTGCTTTCTGTTTGGTGGGGGGGGTGGTTGTTGTCCGACTCCCCAGTCTGGGACATGTTGGGATCCAGACTCCAGAACCCGAGTGTGAGAAGCCTGGTAGTGGGTAAATGGGCACCCCTGCCCCGGACGGGAGTCAAAGCCACAAGGCTCCAAAGGGGAAGCCGAGGTGATGTGGTACGACGACCCCTCCTTGAAGCAGCTCAACTGGCGCTGGCTGCTGATGGCCAACGCTCTTCCGGCGGCAGTCTTCTGGTTGCTGAGCTGGCCCCTGCTGCAGGAAACAATCAAGCAAACAATCATATGGGTCCGTGGGTGCCCCTGTTGTGTTTGATTTAAAGGAAACCATGGGGAAAGCCACAATTTGTGGGGGAGTCTCTCAGAAAGACGCTCCCATATTCTCACTTTTCGGAGTTCCTGGACTTTATGCTTTTTGGGCCTGTGTGCATCATTTTGGGGTTGGTTGAGGACATCAAAAGGTCTGATCTAATGTTCTGGTTCTGGTTCGGCCGCCCCAAACAGCAATCTATCATTTCCATTCCAGGTTGGGCGGATGAGTCGAATCAAGAAATCATGTTGAAGGCACCGTCTTCAGGAGTCTCTCACTAACTGGGCTACATTTTCGTGGCAAAAGAAGAGCTCTTTTTGGCCAGTCCACTGACGTGAAGTCTGAGAACACTCTTCTTTAGAACCCTTTTTGTGGACTTCCCCTGTTCTTCCCCCGGTTGGTCCTTCTTTTAGTAGTCCTTTAGTATACTCTTTAATATTCTACAGGGGTGGGCCCACAGATTCGCCACCTCCAGACCGTCTTCTCGCTTTTCCGAATCTCGCGGCTTCTAAGTCAGCGACTTACCAAAGTGGCTGTGATTGAAAATTAATCCAGGAATTCGACCGCAGGTTTTAGTCCATGTTAGCTGCTACAAGGGCTTGCCCCATTTTGGGGGTTGGGGGCCGTGGAAACATGGTTGTTGGGTTTTACATTTTTCAGATTTTTGCTTAGTGTGGTTTAGTGGTTGAAATCCAACCACCTAGCTGCTAAAATTTTGGAATTTTGACCAGCCAAGTCTCGCGCGAGGAGTCTCCGGTCTTCTCCGTGGCCAAGGGCAAGCTGGAGGAGGCGTGTCCGGGAAGCCATGCTGAGGTAAGGCAAAAACCATCCGAAGTGGTCCATGCTTCATTTGCTTAAGAATATGTTTTGTATTTTCCCCTCTTGGTTTTAAAGGGAATCGATTTCACTGCTGGAAATAGTTTTTTTTGTTTTTTTCCAGGGGGCTTAAGCAAATGGAGGTCCATGCTTCATTTGGGAGGGATATTGGAGTTCTGCACAAAACCTAGGGGCTCACCAATACATATATTAGAATCACTCAACACGCGAAACAATGACAACCCTAGACTCGCAAAAAACGCCAGCTTGTTACTGTCGTACCAAGGGCTGGAAAGCTTCTCCCTTGATACTCGCAGTCAAGTGGCGGAAGGACCACCTTAGTGCGGATCGTTGTCGAGCCATCCAACTTGTTTCAACAGTGCATGCTAAAAATCCAGGGCCTCAAACATCACACCTCATCTCACCTGCCCCCAAAGCCAACCTTTCAACCTTTCGGTTTCCCTGATTTGGTCTATCTTTAGTCAAAATTCCAAAAGGTCAACCTTGTATTTCCAGGCCCTTTGGGCAAGTGGGTCATATTCTGGATTTCGCCTCAATAGCATTTGCAACCAGAGATGTTCCCAGCTCGCCAGACAAAGTTCCATTGGCCTTGGGGAATTGGACTGTGGCAACTGGTCCCCTTCCTTCGGACTGGAAAACGCCCAGAGCTCTGGGGATCTATGGCTGGTGCTCAGTGGGGAGTCGGGAATGAAGCCGGAGTTCCGCATGTCACGAAACCGCGCGTTGGTTCAGTTTGTGATCCAAGTTGCCAACTTGGGATAAGGGAGGCCGCAAGTTCGGTTTGGGGTCGATGGAAAGTTGGACTCCCTCCTTCCCGAGCCTCTCATTTCGCGTTTCGGCGGCAAGAAAGAGCGGCTTCGCAGCGCCAGGCGCACAGAACCTTGGACCTCATGCGGCGCTGGAACTCAAAGCCGGACCTGAACATCGCCGTAAGAGGCGCATCGGTTTCAGCTTTCCCTGTGGGGAGCTCTTTCGAGTTGAGCGCGTCTTCTTTTTGCGGGTACCTTGTTTTGTGTTGGCTTAAAGAGAGGCCAACAGGAAACCAACCATTTTGGGGGTTCCATGGGGTTCCCCTATTTTGAGAGAAATTGCTTGCCTGAGTCGTCTCTTGGGTTTGGACCGTTTTAGTGGCAATCAACAGGTCTGATTTTTTCCGCCCAATCCACTCGGAGGTGAAAACTGCTGCAACGCAGAAGCCGTTGTCGCCACCACACTAGAGACCATTTGTGAGGGTTGCGATCGCTTGCGCCAAAGGACAGTCAGGTGTGCAGTGTGTAGCGTCCGAAAGGAACTCATTTGGGTGTGTGTGTGAGCGTGTTTGTTGTGTTTGTTTGTTTGTTTCTTTGTTTGTTTGTGTGTTTGTTTGTTTGTTTTTTGAGTGTACCCTTTTTAGGGGGTGGTTTAAAGGGAAGCCATCTGGCAAAGACGTATTTTGAGGCCCCCTTGGTTTGACCCGCATTTGTTAGAAGCCATTCAACGGGTCCAAGCCGCAGTCAGTTGGGTCCCGAGCGGCGTCCCTGAGGTGCAGAAGGAGAAGTGGGGCCGAGCTTTTGGAAGCAGCTGCCGGGCATACTCACAGGCAGATCTGGGTGGCTGTCGGTCGCTTTTTAGGGGGTTGGGTTACCCCTATAGGTCCCCCAGCTAGGTGCCCTTTCTCGCCCCTTTTTTGTTTGATTGTTGGTCACTCTTTGGGTTTTGGTTGGTGCATGTTGCCAAGGGATGTTAGGACCGAAAAACTTTTTGCCAGTTAATGAATTGGTTTTTCGTTAAACCACCCAAAGGTAAACTTTTAGCAGGGGAGCAGAAAGCAATCGAGTTTTGGTTTGAAGCCCCTCAGTTGTTCAGTGGCACCCTTTTCCCCCCTTTATTTGTGGCCCCACCGAAATTGGGCTTCCCAAAAAAGGGTTCCCCTTTTTTCCCAGGGTCACTGAACAGCTAAGCCTATTCTCACCAGAGCCCAAAGCGAATGACCCTCGAGGTGCCACCTGTTTGGTCCATTGGTCATGGTCATGGCCCCAAAAAGGATGATGGCCCTTTGGGCAACTTCCTGAGTTCATGAACTTTAAACTTTTTGGGAAGACTTTTTTAGTGGTAAATATAAAGTTTGGACTTTTTTGGGGCCATCCACTCAGCCAGTGAGTTGGGCAACTTCGGCTTTACAGGTGCCAAAAGGAAGCAAGCAGCATGGAGGGACCCTTGTTGAGACACCAGTATATGTTTCCAGACCTGCGGTGGAGTTTCGCCTGTTGTTTGTTTGGGGTGGGGGGTGGGGTGGTGGTGGAAGGGATTTCCGCTTTAAAATCAACAAACAAGAAAGATGCCTTTTTGCCCATGGCTACTGGTTCACATTTTGAGGGACCCCAAGATGGCACCTAGTTGCCCTTCAAACTCACCAAAAGATGGGTCCCCATTTTTCACCCATACGGGTCTGTCTCCATGGGAGCCTTTTCTTGGGCTGGTTTGGGCCAACAGGAAGCCAACCCTTAGGGGTCTCCTAGTGAGACGCTCAGAGGGTTGTGAGCTCAGTTCTTGACCGCTGCTGGGTTGGATTTTTAGACTTTAACTTTCTGGGAAATCAAGGGGTTTTCCACTAACCCCCCAAGAAGTTAAACGTTTTGCAGGGCGGTCAACAGCAACCAAGAAGAAGGACATACATAATAATACCCCTTGATGACCTGTTCCTGTGAGGTCGCAGGGTGTTGAGTAGGCGTGCGCCCACCCATTTCTCCATTGTTATGTACAAGTTCAGAGAAGGAACACCATACCCAGTGGATCCCAGGTACCACTATAGTACCAGTCATTGTTCTTTTGGTTTTTGGCGGGTTCCCTTGGTTCCCTACACCCATGTAAATGGATCCAGTAAGAGAGCGACCCGGCCACTGGCCCGTTTTTCTGGACTTTGGCCTGACCAGGCAGCACCTTCGCCTTGTGCCTGGTGTGCTTTAGCTACAACCTCACCATCTACGGCGCATTCACCGCCTTCCCTCAGCTGCTGCCCAGGCGGAACAAAACTTTTGGTGAGAGGGTCGTGAGGTGTGGTTCCCCGCGGGTGGTTTCAGGTTTTGAGGTTCTAAAGGGTGCACCAAGATACAAGGAAGGAGCTGCAGGTGTACCGAAATTCAGGCTTGCAGTTGTGGTGTCTAGGCCCTTGTAGTGGAGACCCACCCTGTCATTGGGCGAGTTCAAGTTAGATCTGGGGTGACAGGGTCCTTCGCTCGCAGAGTCGAGAAATGGACAACCTTGCAAGTCTTTCGCCCAAGAACACGGGTTGTCTAAACAACCAAAGGGAAACCAACCATTTTTTTGGATCCCTGTCATGTTTGTCATTTTCAGACTCCGGCTGTTCCCACCAGTTTTCGGGGGGGGGCCTCCCCGGTTTCGGCACGTGCCCCATCCATTGCTTGGGGGAACATGTCTCGCTGGGAGGCTTTTGGGGCAAGGGAGCCGCACCCCCGTGGCGGAGCTCGCCCGAGGGGCCTTCATGGCGTCTTGAAGCATCTGGCTGGTGCCCTTTAAGGGGGGGGGGGCGTTCCCTAAGGCCCCCTAAGGAACACTGAGGAACCCAAGGGCTCTCAACTACCCACCCCCTTGTAATTCCCTAATAAATTACCCTTCTTGGGGATTGCATAAGTAGGAAACCCTCAAAAAATTGGTTTCTCTTCTGGCTGGGTGTACTCACTTCCTTGGTTCCTCGGCTTTAGTCGCTTTGTGGAAAAACCAGTTAAGCGGCAAGTAAACAGTTTGGAGTTTGGCCAATTCACTCAGGAAGTGAGTTTCAGGGACGAGCAAATGAGCAAAACTACGAGCAAACGAGGAAAGTGGAGCTTTCCAATCACCCACCAGTTGGTTTCGTTTGTTTTGCCTCTAAACTAATTTGAAAAAGCGTACCCTGAAAAACACAACAGCTCATCGATCGGGAGTGAAGCAAGCGAAAACCAATAGTGTAGGTCCTTGACTTGGCTTTTCCAAGCTGGTTCGGAGATACTGCAGGTTTGTCTCAAAAGGAAGAACCATGGCTGTGTCAAATGGGAGGTTCGGGCAATCTCACTTCTTGTGGTACCTAGGGATTTCCTTTACGGTGACAAAGTACTGTAGCGGCTGGAAATCTCCGGGTCATTTTGTTGCAGGGTTCCAAAAGGTCAGCCTATGTTTCCAGGTAGCAAGCGAGCACATTGGAAGGGGTGTAGATAACGAGCCTCCCCTTTAGGGAACTGCATCTTTGAACAGGGTTGCTTTATCCAGAACTCCAGTGCACGTTTTCCTGTGGGCTTCCATCTGTAAAATCAAGTACCAAAAATAATGCCCTTTGGAAACGGGAAATCTGAGGGTTAAACAAGCGAACCAAAGTCTAAACCATGCTGGGCTTCTTTAATGAGGGTTGCTTGAACACCCAATGGGTGCAACTGTGGCCTGTCACTTGACGATCATTTTGCGTTGTGAGGTTCCGAACATGTGAAAGAAGCTACGCACAGCATGCTTAGGCCAAAAGGCTGAGGTAGTTTTAGAACCCCCCCCCAACTTTGGACAGAGAGATGCTTTTGTTCTGAAGAAGGACGAGCTTCCCTTGCCATAAGTTGTGAAATGCAGCGCCTGGAGAGGAACGAGTTCAAAGAGAGGTCCCAATCGAATGGTTTCTGTCGCAGTCTGTCGAGATCCCCACGAGAATCCCAAAAGGTGACACTTCTCAGAAACCTGAAAAAGGTGGTGTCCAAGGGTTTCGCGCTGTTTGCATCAAGGGTCATTTCGAGAGTGTCGGAGTGTCACTTGTACGGGAAACCAAAGTGGAGATTTGAGCGCATTCCCTCTTGGCCATTTTTGTTGGGGGGGCAGCGTCTCTACATAGATTTGGTCCATGCTGCAAGTTCCATTTGTGTAAGAGAAAAAGTAAAACCTGAAATCAGACTTGGAGCCCCAAGTAAAGGACCTTGGTGAAACCTTTTTTGCAAAGAACTGGGTGAATTATAACGACCTCACACGACCTCAACCCAAATGGTGGTTTATGTGGGGAATAGCCCCCCAACCACCTTACTTCAGGTTGGTGAACTATTAAAACTCACCCAGAAAGAAGGCTTTTGGACTGAGGAAATCCCGGGGGACGTGATGGGCCTGGTCTTTGGCCTGTCCTTGCCCCGGAAGTGGGTGCTCTACGTCTACTTCCTGGGCCTCGGCATCTCCAGCCTCCTGCCGCCCTGGCATTTTTTTTTTGAGCGCGGCTGTGCGCCTGGCAACCTTTTTTTTTTTTTGCAAGGGGTTGATTCCCCATTCTTTTAAATCATCGTTATTTTCAATACCTGCCGTTTTCCCGGGTTTCTGGAGGTTTTCTGCGAAGGTACCGGTAGACTGTTTTTTTTTTTTTGAGGGGGTCTCCCTTGAAATTCAACAACACTGGAGGGACGAGATAGCTGTGCCTCTGTTGTTTTTGCGGGGTTTCCCCCTGGGAAAAATTAACGGGTTTGAGATGTGTACCATCCCACTAGACCTGGTTTGTTGCACAGGCGCCTTGAAAGGCGAAGATGGGTAAGAGGGGGCCCGCTCCTGTGATCATTGGAGTTACCCGACCACCCATATGGCTGTGGCTCAAAATCAAACGATCGGAGGGGCAAACCGCGGGTTTTTGTTCCATGTTTCCACTTACCAAGGTTCCATTTTGGAATTCCGGTGTTTTTGAGCCACAGCCATATCCAGTGTTTTAGTCTCTTGCAGAGCCCTCTCACTAAACGGACACTGTCCTTTTGGGAAAAGGGAGTGTGCGCGTTCATGTTTGTTGGCGGGAGGGCAACGGTTCAGAAAATGAGTCCACCACTATGGCGATGTCCCCTTGCTAAACAGGACTACTGGAAGCACTGGAAAGTCCCCACCTATCGAAGCCCCACCCCTGTGGGTCTGTGGTCCTGTGGTTTAGGGCTGGTTTGGCTTGGGTTGGTTTGTTGGAGAGCTGGTTTTGGGTGGTTCCCGGGGGATATCAAACTGGACCCTGCCCCATCCAGCTTCCCCGGTCGAAGGAAAGCCAACGACATTAGAGACACTAGGCCAGGTTCCCCACGCTGTTCTAAGTTGGTAGCGGAGATGATGCTGGGGTCATGATTTTGAATGTTTCTGGAAGTGTTCAAAGTCCGAAAATGGGAGTGTTTTCCTTAAACCGACATCTCAGAGGGTGGCTTTGATCATTGTAAAATAATGAGGGGGCAGTTTTTGTGTTGGTCTCAAATGTTTGTCCCTATTTCCAGCGCTTTTTGTTTCTTTGTTTTCCCAAGTCCACCAGACATGAGCCAGGGTTTCTGAGTTGTTGTTTCTCTTGGAAAAAACGTCCTTCGGAAACAAGTAGAGGGAGTCCTAAAAATCAGGAACGCCAAACTACTTTGCATCCACAGGGCCTCTCAGGCGTTTTTGTTTTGTTTGCGGATGGTTTCCTTGGGAATCCTTTGCATAGAGTACCGGCTGTTCCAAAGTCGAGGCTTCCACGTTGCCAGGTTCTGCAGCCAGAACGAGTCCTTCATCTTGCTGGGCTACTACGGCAGCAAGGCGCAGTCAGGGCTGATTTGGGAGTTTTTTGGGTAGCAAGGGGAAACTACAATTTTCAGGAGATCCGTATTATGACACATAGAAGCTTCTTAGGCCAGCATTCGTTTGGCAGCCAACCTTGGTCGAGCTTGTCTAAAGGCCGAAACGTTGATCTCGCTTCAGGCCTTGGATTTGAATTTTAGCCGGGCAGACCTTCCTGCAGAGAGTATTTGGAGTATGCCGAGAAGCAACACTGGCAAATATCAAAACAAGTTCCGTTTGTTTCCTCATTCCGAATTGTCTCTACGTAGTATGGCCGTGCCCGTTGCCATTGTGTTGAGTCTTCTCTAGATAGTGTACATATATGCTGATTGTAGGTTGGAAGGCAATCTTAACTGTAATTTCTCTTTTGTGTCCTTAAACCTTGGCTTGTTGTCACTTACGTTTTCCCGTATATGTCTCCATGTGCTAATAATTGCTTTAACCACCATGCTGTTTGAGGAATCAGCGGGCTCCATGTGTGTTTTGTTTGTTAACCCCGTGTTTTGACAGGTTCTCAATACTTTCCATGTTTCCTGCAATCGACTTCATTCCCATTACTTTTTGTATGTTACCCCTGATGTGTTTTTCGTTTGTGTTTTGTGTTGTCAGCTGCTGCTTTGTTTAAATTGTTGCCTTCATACTTTGCGTAGTTGTGTGTGTGTGTGTAGGGACCTCTCAAATGATCCAGCCTGCGGATCGGTTTCTGTGTTTTCCATGTTGATGGTTTTCCCCTCCAGATGTCCGCCACGTGTGTTTGTATTGGTTTGTTTGTTTTTGGTCAGGTCCCTACAAATGATCCAACCATCCTCCAACCTTACTCCTGGCTGGTGGCTCGGTTCGGCTTGGGCCTCAAGGGGGCCTTCCGTGGCTCCCAAGGAGAGGTTCAACGCCATCAATCCAAACCACCAACTGAGTTGTCGAAGCAAGGCTGGCCTCACAAAAGCACAAAGAGACCAAACCAAACAGACACACACACACACATGACTCTGCTTTTTTCGGGGACCGCCTCCGAACTGGTTGGACACGAGATATCCACACACAATACTGATATCCACCATGTGGGGTCCTGCTGTGGATGGACAAAATCCTGCACCACCCAAGAATCCGATTCCCCCGCAAATACCAACAAACCATGGTTTTGCATGGTTTCGCAGTGGTGCGACATGGCTTTTGTTCACCCACAGTATCAACCGGCTTCTTTAACTCCGGTTGATGTGTAGAGTCCAGCAACTCAGGAAGTGAGAATATGGGAGCGTTTTTCTGAGAGACAACCACAAATCGTGTTGCTTTCCCTATGGAAAACCCCTTTGAGACAATCACAGGGCTCCTTAACAGATACAAATTTTGCAGCCATTTGAAACATGTGGCTTTTTCCACACCAAACATTACGGTCGGACTTCAACCACCATTTCCAAGTTTTTTTTGAATTTCGGCGTCCTCATGCCTCCGGATGTGTTTTTCTTTTCGCAAAACCACCACCAGGCTGCGGCCACCGGTCCCAACCCCCGGGTCCGATTTTTTTTTCGGCGCGGAGGCCTTCCCGCAGCTCGGCTCGGTGTCGCTCTACGTCCTGGCGGCGGAGTCCTTCGGCCCCGCGGTGCGCGCCAGCGGCACCGCGCTGGTGCTCGCCGTGGGGCGCCTGGGCGCCTGCGCCCCGGCGAGAAAAACGCGGAGGGGGGAGTCTCCGGTGTTGGGACGCCTGAAAACCGAGGCCTCGTCGTTGTTTTTTGTGTGTTTTTTCTTTTTGGGGGGGGGAGTGGTTGTTCTTTTCTTTTTTGTGTGTTTGCCCAAGTTTCGGTGGGAAAGAACCAGCGCGGACTTGTTCTTATGACTTTTCTTTGGGGGGGAGTTTGGTTGCCATTGTCTTGGGAAAGAACAAGTGCGGACTTTGTTTTGTGGGGCCATCTAATCTGAGGAAGTGAGATTATCCCGGGTACAAGTACACCCCCTGGTTGATTTTGAGAGATGGCGTGATGGCGTCCAATTCCTGGGGTTCTGACTCCTTGAGAGAGCACCACCCCCGGGTGTTTCAATCTGGGGTCGACATGGTATTGGCTATGAAATTCAACATGGTTGGTAAGCACGTTCACCCCAGGGTTCCCTGTATCTCGCTTAAAGCCAATCTTGGCATCCCTGGTCCGTAGTAAAACCTCCACGTGAGCTTTCCGTTTCCAGGTGGGATGTGCCACTTTTGAGATACCGTGCCACCATGAAAGCCGGGGTGATCCGGGGTGGGTCAAATTCCCCACCGGGACTGCTCAAGCCTTGAGGATTCCGTGTGTTTTTTTTTTTTTAATCCGGTGAGATCCCCTGTAGTAAGTGCAGTAAGTGTAAACCAATCGGAGGATCTCAAAAGGTCGCGAGCGCCAGCGTATTGTTTTTCCCACTCAGGTCTTGTCCCAGCCGGAGTTCCCGGAGTTCTTAGACATTTTCGTCACGTTTCGGGGGTTCGGTTCCTTAGGTTAGTTGGTAGTTGCTCTCGTGGTAGTTTCCCATTCGACCCACTACAAGTTAGACGTTTAAGGGATCTGAGGACATCCCAGTTTCATGGCGAAGAAGAAGTTTGGTTACTTGTTTGGCCAGTGCAGGAAGTGAGTGTGACTGGTTTTCTGCGACGGACGAACAAGTAGCCAAAACACAGAAGGGGGCCTGTTTCCCCCCAAACCCCTTTTCCGGCCTTCATCTTGTCTTTTGGTTTATGGGCCCAAACGAAAAGAGCAGCCAGCCGTAGTATTACCCGATCTCGCCCAGAGAGAGGCCAATTCCCTCGACTTTTACAAATATCCAACAACCAAACAAATCGGCATAACCAAAATCAGCAGAACCAAAATCCAAAAAGCTCCAGGGAAATCCACCTGCACAAAACAAGGCCCCGCCCCCCAGGTGTGGCGCCGTTGTTCTACGAACTGCTCGTCACCACCTGGTCTTCTTTGGCCTTCTTCTACACCTCTGCGGGGTTGATGCTCCTGTGCGCGCTGGTGACGCTTAGCCACATGTGGCTCAAAATTAGGAGACCCATTCAATCCAAAAGGTTCCTTTAGTTTCCCTTTAAACCCCCCCCTCCAAACTGGTCTCCCTTCGAAGACACATACCCTCAATAAATCGCATACCCAACTAGGCCAGGGTTTTTTGAGGCCCAGTGAATTGTTTCGGTTGTTTTCGAAAGCGAAACCAAGAGGAAAGCCAAGCCCTTGTGCCAATTATGAGGTCTCCTCCAAAATGATGTCAACATATTGGTGTGGACTCACTTGCCCAATGCGAACCGTTGGTTCCCCATTTTGGCACATGTTTAGTCAATCAAACACATTTTTCTGTGTACCCTGCATGCTGGCGGCCAAATCGGGTGTGTGTTAACAGACCCTCTTGTTTTGGGTGGTACGGCTGGTCATCAACCCCTTCGGGATTGTAGGAATCCATGATAAAGATTCCCCTTGCCTTCTTTGATGTGTGTTGGAAAAAGGGTCCTACCCGGTACTTCCAGTTACTGAGTTGATCACCAAGTAGTTGAACCTCTAAGTTTTTACATCATGTCTCCCCACTATGGCAGGAAGCACTGGGCACACCCTGAACATTGCCAGGCTCAACTCACCCTTGGTTTTGTTGCAACTTTGGTTTCCTTTGTTTTCCCTTCAGGTTAGCCTTTGCTTTGGATGTGTTGGACTTGAGGCCCGTTTTTGTTGGGTACAACGCCCCAAAACCAGCGGGCCTCCAAACCACCAACTGGGGAAGAACGAACCAGATCCGGGCCGGGATCTGAGGACCTTAGTCTTCGTCCCGGAGACTTTCTGCTTCGTCGCGAAGGAGGCGCGGTCTGGAGCTGACGCGCTCGGTTTTGGGACCGGGGGTGTCAGGTGCGGTTTTGGAGCTGACGCGCTCGGTTTGGGACCGGGTGTGTCAGGTGCGGGTTTGAGCCCGGTGTGGATTTTTAGGATTTGAAGCCCTTCTGGTAGGAAATGGGAAAGTATGTCCCAAACCAGTTCAAATCAGCAATTTGGAGGGAGACTGAGAATGTTCATTTGTCCAACCCGCCCTCTTTTTGATCTTCATGTTGCTTCTTGGTTTATGGGCCAGAAAACCAGTTAGGAATAGGGCCCCATAATCAATACAGAACCCTAAAAAAGGGTTTCCCATGAGGACATTAATTCGACCTTAACTGAGCCCTTTTGAACTCATTTTTCATTTTTTCAGAACCCGGATCAAACATATCCGTTATGGTCTCGGGGCAAAACCTGTAGATAAGTGTTTTTGCCGGCTTCAATCCAGGATGAATATGCCGACCCCCCTCCCTCAGAAAGGCTCTGAGAACCCAAGCCTCTTTTAAGATGATTCCTTTGCCTTTTCCGGGGGAGTGGGCGGGCCCTTTGTTCCTCAACCGAATCCTTGGGACTGTGTTGAGCCGTGGTTGAGCCAGATCCGAGTCAATCTTTGTCATGGCTTTGCAGCAGCTTCAGATTCGGTTCGAGACATCGTGGACGCAAAAGGAAGCTAAAGTGGGAGATGGCCTAAATCGGAAGGGCTCCCTTCAGACGGAACTCAAAAGCAAGCAGCGCGCAGCGCGCATGTGTGGCCTTCGGTGAGCACAGGCGCAAGCAGTTAGATCAGCTTTAATTGGTCGCCCTTGGTTTCGCTTTCACCGTTGTGTGTGTGTGTGTGTTGTGTTTGTGTGTTGTGTTTGTGTGCGTGTGTGCGTGTGTGCGTGTGTGCGTGTGTGCGTGTGTGCGTGTGTGTGTGTGTGTGTGTGTGTGTGTGTGTGTGTGTGTGTGTGTTTATGTCTTTATGTGTTTATGTTTATGTTTATGTTTATGTTTATGTTTGTTGTTTGTTTTTGTTTGTTTGTGTGTGTTTTTGTTTTTGATGTTTGTTTGTTTGGTTTGTTTGTTTGTTTGTTTGTTTGTTTGTTTGCTTCTTTGTTTGTTTGTTTGGTTGTTTGTTGTTTGTTTGTTTTGTTGTTTGTTTGTTTGTTTGTTTGTTTGTTTGTTTGTTTGTTTGCCTGTTTGTGTGTTTGTGTGTTTGTTTGTTTGTTTGTTTGTTTGTGTGTTTGTTTGTTTGCTTCTTTGTGTGTTTGTTTGTTTGTTTGTTTGTTTGTTTGTTGTTTGTTTGTTTTGTTGTTTGTTTGTTTGTGTGTTTGTTTGTTTGTTTGTTTGTTTGTTTGTTTGTTTGTTTGTGTGTTTGTTTGTTTGCCTGTTTGTTTGTTTGTTTGTTTGTTTGTTTGTTTGTTTTGTTTGTTGGTTTGTTTGTTTGTCCGTTTGGTTGTTTGTTTCTTTGTTTCGTTGTTTCGTTGTTTCGTTGTTTGTTTGTTTGTTTGTTTGTTTGTTTGTTTGTTGTTGATTTTTATGTTTATTTGTTTGTGTGTTTGTGCGTTTGTTTGTTTGTTTGCTTGCTTGCTTGTTTGTTTCTTTTGGGTGTGTTTGTGTGTGCTTGTTTGTGTGTTTGCGTGTTTGTGTTTGTGTGTGTGTGTGGGTGCGTGCGTGCGTGCGTGCGTGCGTGCGTGCGTGCGTGCGTGCGTGCGTGTGTGTGTGTGTGGCGTGTGTGTATGTGTGTGTGTGTGTGTGTGTGCGTGAGAGTGATTGTGTTTGTGTTTGTGTGTGTGTGCGTTTGTGTTTGTGTTTGTGTATGTGTGTGCCTGTTTGTTTGTGTGCGCGTGGGTTTGTTTGTGTGTTATGCGTTGGAGGGTACACTTTTCAGCTTAGGTAAAGGGAAACAGTGGGACGAAATGCGTTCTTAGGCCCCCCTGTGTTGACAGGTCGCGTTACGTAGCTTTGCGATTGGGCCATTCGGACTCCACTCAGGCGACAATTTGCGAAACATTTTTTAGGTGAACTTGGGGAAGGGTCCTTCGGAAGGGTGGTTCTCAGCACGTTAAGGTACATTTGTACCTTGGCGTGCCCTACAGGCGATTGGTATGTACTACTGGCAGCCTTTTTCAAGGGACCCGGGGACGCCCAACATATCTCCCCCCCCACAATTGACACCCATTTGCGGTGGCTGGATGCCAACAAAGAAACATTCTCTGTACACTTTCCCCGTGTGGTTATGTTAATGCTTGGAGCGAGGCCCTTTCGCGTAAGTCCTCGTGCTCGAACCAGTCTCTCGCTTGAGGCAACGCCCTTGGCGACCAACCACAAGCTGTACGGCTCTGTGCGGGAGGAGGTCAATTGTTGAGACATTGCCACAAGCTGAGACTTGCGTATCACTCCCCGGACGGAGAACCTGCCAGGTCAATTTAAGTGGGGCTGCAGGTTCCCGCTTAGTGATCCGGATCCCTGGCATGAGACAACCGATCAACTCAACTGTTAGTTTTAATGTTTGGAGTCCTATTGCTGCTGTATGTTGCATGTGTCACTGCCCGAAACAAACTTAGGGACCTTCCGGCGCGGGATGCCGGTTGAGTTTGACTCCCACCATGCACTCATTGGGGCTGTGTCTACATCGAATGTAACCCGTGTGTCGACAAGACATCACATGACCACGTCTGGAAACCAGGCCGTTTTTGTTCATCGTTACCTTCAGCAAATGGACATGGATTATGCTGGAGCTTCAGGTGAATAGGTGGTTTGCAATAGTACGGTTTCACTCAGCTCGCAACGTGCCACTCACAAGTCGAGCGAGCAACCAAAAGCGCGAACTGCATCTTGCGGGCGAAGACGGGACACGGAGGAGTGCTGCAATAGCGGGGTTTGTGTTTTGAGGGTACCCTTTTTGAGGGCGGTTGCCTTCGGAAAACCAAGAAGGAACGATCATGAGACCCTGGATCCTTAATGGTTCTTAATTGCCCCTCTAAAGGGCCTTATCGAAAGTTCGCCTAGACACCTGAATCGGGCCTTTAAAAAAAATCCCTGAAAATTAGTAAGGTTGGGCCAGGGGGGGGGGGGCATTGGGTTGGGGGGTCCCATCACCCGGCGGCAAAGGCTCGCCTTGCTATAGCTTTGCACCAGTGAACTCGTGGAAACCAGAAAAAATCCCTATATGACCACTTGGCGGTCGAAACCAAAACCTGCGGTACGATTTCCTGTGGTTTCATGTTGACCCATACACGCCCCGGATCGAGTGTGTGTGTGTATGTTCGCATGATTCCACGTCGAGTTTTACCATGCTTTCGAAGGGGAAAAGCTAAGTGGTGGCTGGTCGAAGGGGAAAGCAAAGAAGCCCCAAATGGAAAGCGCGCAACCAGGTCATTGCAGTGCGATCAGTGTTTCTGATGTCAGTGGGATTGATCTAGTCTTGGGTCCCTTTGCAACTCCTTGGCCTTCGCAACCCCTGGGACAGCAAATGGCTCCCTCCAAATGTGAGCAGAACCAAACGAGAAAAGAAGAAGTGAAGTACTAAGGGTCAAGACAATCCGATTATGTAGAACCTTGGGGTGTTATATCAGACACCTGGTTGATTAATAGGGGGCTGATCCCTTTTAGTGGAGGCTCATCACTTCTGGGAAAGCCGGAAGCCCCTCCTATTAATAATTCTTCCATTTTGTTGAAGAATGTTTGTCAATTTCCCTGCTGGGGACTTAAGCAAACGGAGGTAGTCCGGGGTCTACATTGGCCCAAACGTTGCTCTTGCACACGCCATTGGCCATTCAGAGATGTTTGGTTTCCTTCGGTGTGAGGGTTCTTGCGGCAGGGCATAGAATGGGCCTTCGAAACAAAAGGAGGCTGGAGTTTCTCAGGAGCCAATTTCCCTCTCCCCCAAATCCCCAAAACTGTGAAACACGTCATTTCGGTCGTTTCTGCTTTTATTTGTCCTGATGATTATTTAATGAGCCAGGGCTTGCTCTGGACGTTTCCACATTCCAAGTTTCAAAGGGCTGGTGTAGATTGGCCTTGCTTCCAGACCTCACGCAGAACCAACCCGTTCAGCCGCACAGCTTCGATCTGGGCCGAAGGGTTCCTTCCAGCTGGCTCCGATTCGGGGCGCGAAACGCGCGAAGTCATTCCGTGCAGGTCCCTTAGGGAGATCCATTCCTGGATCGCCAGTTGCTGCTTAGGGCTTTGTTCCATCCACTTCACCCCAAAAACCAGCAGTGACTGAAAACAACGCAGCAACTTGGCTATCTAGGCTGTGAATTACGAGCTTTCTTGTTTGAACACATGTGCAGATGACTGTGCTATGATGTCAAAGTAGCTGGGTTGTGGAGAATCCTGAATCCCATGCCAAATATGTCATCTTCCCCATTTTGAAGGGGAAGCAAAAGGAATACCGCCATTTTTGCGGTTGCCTAAAACGAGATACACCCACTGGGAAATGCGCAAGGAACAAGCAGGCAGATGCGGTAGTCGAAACAAAACCCTGCCAGGCACATGGATGTCCGGTCAGTGTGCGGCAGGCCGACCAGCGAGCAGGAGCTGTTTTGTTGCCTCCCGGTTATTGGCTACATGTGAGCGAGCAAAAGCCGAGTCAGCGAAGGTCAGGGATAGTCGCAGTCATAAATAGGTGTGGCCGCAGTTGTTTTATTCTTTACTTTTGTTTTGGGTAGACCATGTTTGTCAGGTTTTCAATTGGTCACTCGGCCGTAAGGGGACATCCTTTGAACTAGCCTGAAATGCCAAACACACACACACACAAAGCAAGCGATGGCCTGCATAAGGAATTTTGACAGTGCACTGGTGTTGATTATTTACGTGCGTTTGTCACCACAATTATGACATGGACTTCGAAAATGATTAAGTTCTACAGTTAACATTTCCTTGATCAGGAATCTCTCATGCCTAGATTCATGTCGCATGGCAACAGTCCATGCGCATGTTTGCACGCATGTTTGCACGCTCCTGTTCTTGCCCCAATTCCTACCCACCAATCTTGCACAGTAACAGTCATTGCTCATTTGTTTCTCTTTATGTTGCGGTTTGTCGTGTGGTTTGCTCCGGCTTCTTTCCGGGAACCAGCCGAAGTTTAAACCCACATGGGTCCCTACTCAAAGAGCAGCTCGTGAGCGACACGCTTCTTTTCCGTTGGAAAGGCTGAGTCAACCTAGATGCGTGTATCCCCTTTGCGTGTCTCACCGAAAAAAGCGACCGGTAGAACGCCTCGGACCAAAAGGATGGTTGTTTTTTTGGTTCCGTTGGACCAATCTTTAGACTGTTGGATTCCCCGCATATTTCCTTTTCACCAGCAAAAGGTTGACAACTTTTTGCTGGGGGATCTACAGCACCCAAGTGGACATCTGTGAGAAGCCGAGGGCCCTCAAGGCACAGCTGTGCATGTTGCCGGTGCAGGACATGGAACAATATGGGCTGCCGGAGGTGCCTGAGCCGCAAAACCAAAGGGCTGTGTTCCGAGTTGAGACGCGATTGGTACACCTGAAATCGGGTCGGTTAAAGGGGAAACAAAGAAAACACCAAGATCCATTGTGGCCGTACCTTGTGTCCCATCTGTGGGCTTGTCTTTTGCCGAACCACATTCACCCTCAAAAGACGGTCCCTGATACGGGTGTCGGCTTCTTGGAGGGTACCCTTTTGGATGGTTTTAACGGGAACCCTAAAGAAAACCTAAGCCTTAAGCCTGTTTTGGGGGTTTGGGGGGGGAGGTTCTGGATGCAGAGACAAGCCCATATGCACACCATCAGGTGTTTGCTGAATGACTTTGAGGGGGGAGACCTAGTGCAGAAAAAAAGCAAAGCCTGACAAATAGAGGTGCCATGCTCCGAGTTGACGCGAGGCTTATCCAACCAGACTTTGAGCGTCTAAAATATTCAGGTGTTGTCTTGTTGAGGTGATTTGTCTCACCCGTGTGATACCAAACCCTCGTTTTGGCAGGCCTTCCATCAGTGTCACAATACTACAATTCCCATGACTCCCCCGCAAAGGAAACTTGAAGATACGTATATCCTTCATACGGTAGTCATATTGTGGTTCCATTTGGGGGGGGTCCAATATTGTTTCAGAGCCAACTCGCAAGGCCAGTCATGGGAGGTCATAACCCTTGCGAGTCAATATTGGCAGCACTCCCAATCCAGTACTAAAAACATACACATCAGACACTGTATACAGGGTGCGCAGGGTGTACATCCGGCTTTCCCTTTCCACGGTGTTGGAAACAGGGTTCAATTGTTTGATTCCACCAAGATAGACTTTCAAGCCCAGTGGTGGATCTCCCCAGGAGACCCCGTAGATGAAAGTCTATCTTGTAGCCCAAGCCCAACCCCGCCCTAAACCAACTCACGAACTCAAAGCCAAACCCTCACTCCCTGAGGTGGTTCCCAATTTTGGTGGTAAACCCAAATCTTCGGGCTGTTCTAGGGGTTGATTCCTTGTCCATTCTTTTCAAGCATCCTTTCCAAAAGCCGGGGGCTTTGGGGGGGTTGGGGTTGGGGGTTGGCCAACAGCTCTAAGGGTACCTTCCCCATTCTTTCCAGGGATCCGAATCTTTCTAGAACACCTCCGGAAACCCCAGGAAAACGGATCCTGCCCAACCCCCAATCCCCCAATCCCCCAATCACCCAGCCCAAAGCCCCCTACCCAGCCCCCAGCCCCAACCCCCAATCCACTCACAGCAACGGGTCCCCACCCAAAGAGACCTTGGGCTTGACCTTTCGCGAGGTGACAGCGGTGAACTGGGGCCAGTGGCACGGGCCCTACGCGCTGCCGCCGCAGCGTCTGGTGCTCTGCGCGCGGAGTCGGCAAGCCTTCTACTGGGCCAACGGAGGCCGAGCGATCTTTCCGGCACTCGCCGGCACGAGCCGGAAGCCGAAGGTCGTTTTGGGGGCTACCTGTTTGTTGGCGCTAAAAATCGAAACCAAAAGGAAGCCAGAAATGTTGGGGGGTAACCCAAAAAGAAGACACACCCAAGAGGGAGGCAGCCTTGGCTTTTGACTAGATCCAAAATCAGCCCGGCAACTGGAAAGGGTCCGCTTCGGTATTTACCTTGGAAGACGGTATCAGTTTTTGGGTCAGGGGGTTATGGTTAACCCGATGGAGACGAGGTTCTGCGGCTTTCCCAAGTTTTTGGACTCGAGTCGCTCGGGAAGTTGCTTTAATGATGGTCAAGGGCACCTGTGACCAACTGAGAGATGGAGCTTTGGGGGGGGGGGGGGAGGAGGGAGGGGGGTTGCTTGCCTTGGGGTTGGAGCAACCGCCGGAGGAATCTTTATTCTCCAAAAACTGAGGCTTAACCCAACCAATCAAAGGGCATAGAAACACGTTTCAGGGCTGCTCCTTTTGAGTAATTGTTGATTATTTTGGGGGCCGTAACCTCCCAAGTTCCTGCAGGTTGCTCACCGTTTGGGAAGGCTATATTCTTTTTTTAATTATAAAGCGTCAGGAAGTGAGGCTGTGAACCGGACTTGAGTTCTGTTCCATTGCTTGGTATTTCACAACTAGGTCCCCCAGTAGTGCCCTTTCTCACCCTTTTTTGGGGGAGAGTTCCTCCACTAAAATAGACTACAGAAAAAAGGGAACCCTTATTCTATCCTCTCTACTGGAGGACCTAGACAAGGACGCTAAGATGGGATGACTACCGCAGAATATTATGCCATCAGGGGGGCAGACTGCATCAAGGAGAACTCTGGGAAGATAATGTTGGTAGGAAACCAGAGGCTCTCCCGGTTTTCCCTAGATCATCTAGGTGACCATGTTTTGATTCGTCACAAGGATGCCCTTTAACCTTTTCCCTTTGCTACCCTTTCAACTATGGTCCAATAAACAAGTTCTGGTGACTGGGCAAAGGGATCCCTTTGCATTGGGCAGCCTTATCACCAAGATGTATTTGTCATGGACGCTGTTGTCTTCCCTTGTGTTTTTCTTGTCCTGCTTGCCCAAAAATAATCTTGGGAACTTTCAATTATTGTATTGTCTTGATGAATTGGTTTTGCTCAATGAACGCCGCCAGGAGACGCAGACTGACACTGATAGCATGTTCTCACTTTAGGATTGGCTGCACTCATTGAAGCAACCGTCGCATGCATTGAGGACTTGTCTTTTCATTTTTCCCGCGCAGGTGCCCACCCGCTTCCTGGCTGCAGATAGGCAGGTGTTGCTGCTGGCCAAGCGTGGCTGTGATTTGGCGCTCGTTTCAACCCCCGCTGAAGTCTCGTGCGTTTGCTTTCGAGCCGATACCTCGCCTCGAGTTGCGGAATTTGGTCGCTTTTGGAGGCGATCAGTTTCACGGCAACCAAACTGTCTTGGAGTTTGACTGTCAATCCACTCTGGACAGAGGGAGGAGAGTTCCTCAACCATTTGGAAGAATGTTCGCGAATGGAATGTCCCCGTGGTTGGACATCATTTGCAGAGGAATTTAATTTACGTTCATCGATAATTTTGTAGGACTGGAACAATAGCCACTGCCATAGCCATATACGGGGATTGATTCATGCTGTGGTCCCCAGTTTTGACACATGGGTGTGTCTTTCTTTGAGGGGGCCTCTTCTTGTTTGACTTGAAACGGACACCAAAAAGAGACTCGCCTTTCTGAGTGGTCCCCTAAAAAAGACACACCCACATATGGCTTCCCATATGTGTTATTTATACATATATATATATGTGTGTTCACCCTACTTAGAGACGCCTCGCCTGAGACAGCCTCGCCTCGCCGTAGGCTTCACTTTATGGAGGACCTCCTGCCCACCTTGCTTCACCTTTGGCCTGAGTCGGCCGAAAAGGGCCAGTTCATTTGGTGCCTCAGCTTAGAGCAGCGGGCGTTGGGGAATTTTTTTGCAGCCTGGCGGCTCCCAGCCATTCGGTTCCTTAGCCTCTCAGAGCTGTTAGTTGGTTTAGTGGATGGGGTTCCGAATTCAAACCACCAAAAGTTAAACTTTTAGCAGGGGATCTTCGGTCAAAATGTCCAGTAGTCTATATGGTTCATTTGGGAGATGGGGAAGGCGGCTTCTGCGGATGTCGCCATGCCTTTTGGGGGGAAAATTTTGCCAGAAAGGCCGCCTTAGACCCAGACCTCCAGGAGGGTTTCCCTTCAGAATCAACTACCTTCAACAAGTGCTTTGGTGCATTTTGCTGGGATGTTAGGACTCTTTTTTTTGGCCAACTACTGGGTTTTCCATTAAACCACTACAAGTTGAACTTTTTGAAAGGGAGCAGAAAGCAACCGAGTGTGTGTGTGTGTGTGTGTGTTTTGTTCCACGGAGCCCACTGCAGGTTTGGAATCAAAGAGCCCGCTTTAGAAGGGGCCCTAGATGTTTCAAGCATGGTTCTTCTTGGTCGAAAAGGATTCTCAACTTGATCGGAGAGTAGTACTTTGCCCAGAACTACTGAGAGGGGTGAGTTTCTCCTGGGTTTACTCATTGTTGTTTACATAGTATTGGTCCAACGCTATACCATGGCTGTGGAGAATATGATTTTGGGGTCACTTTGTCAGGACGTGGCAGTTTGCAACTGGCATGGTTGCCACGAGACAAGGCGTGTGAGACGTGATACAAAGGGACTCCCCCTCAAAGTGGTAAAGTAGTAGTGGCAATGACCCAAGTTGGTATCTCCCCACCATTCCGAAATGTTATAGTAGTTCGCCCAGACATTATCAAGGGACGATTTACTCCAGACTTTAGTAATATGCATTGTGGTTTACATATCGCAGGGTTCTCCCATTCATTTTCACACAGCCACTCTCTCCAAGTTTTCTTTGACACAGTCGCGGAAGAGCCCCAACAAACCTCAATTCAATCTCCTTTTGGAGGACCTTTCTTGGGTTACAGGTTCCATGTTGCAAGGGGTAAATTTGGAAGACACGTGTGTCTTGTTTGGAGTCCCACCCCTTTTGTGGCGGGATGAACGGGAAACCACAAAAACAACACCATTTTGGGGGTCCAACATTAAAACAAGAAGAGAAAGCGAGAGAGAGAGAGAGAGAGAGAGACCTTCCCTTGTCCGAGGGCTGCCAAGTTTTTGCCCAAAGCGGCCGAGGGTGCTGGACCCAGACTTCAACTTCATTGTGGCGCCGAGTTGGCAGCGGGCCAACTTGCTGGCCTCGCCGAAGGAGGTGAAGCACGGGGATCTGGTGCCCGGGGAGGCGAGTGGCCGGGGATGGGGGGGGGACTTGGGTCGGAGCAGACACCTGGGGCCCGGTGCCACCTCTGCCCACCTTTTTGTTGGTGGTTCCCGGCCATCCGGTGCCTTGAGCTTTTTAGACTTTTAAGGTTTAGTCGGGATTTCCATGAACCCACTAAAGGTTAAACTTTCAGCAGGGGATCTGAGAACAGCCCAGTTTTGGTTTTCCCCTGCGGGCAAGTGAGCAAATCATCCGCGATTTTGCTTTGCGGGCAATGGGCTTTGACCTTTTGGGCGCGTCCGACCTCTTTTTCGGACCATGGATCTCGGTGTTCCCTTCGGTTCTGCATTCTACTCCAAGCAGTGCATTGCAAAAAGAGAGAGCCTCTGTTTTTCATGGTTCGCTGGCCTTGGTCCAACAGCAAACCTGCAGCTAAGTTTTCGGGCAGCTCCTAGCCCTAGCTGGGAACTGGGCTGGAAATGACGGCGAAAGGGGAGACTCCAGACTTCCGCTTTCGGGAGGTCCGAGATGGCCCCCAGAAATGAGGGCTCCGGAAAAGATGGCCATGTTGCAACCAGTTGAAACATGGCTTTTTCCACCTAAAAAAAGGGAAACCACCATTTACAAGGCAATGTTCAGGTGTATAATGTAAGGATCCCCAGAAATCCTGGGATCTTTTTGAGATCTCCTTGCCGTGTTGCTGGGCTGGTCTTCGGTCTGACCAAAAAGCGCCTGGGACCGTTTGGAAACAACTCTCTCGTCCATTAAACCGACAAAAAGGTGGACAAAAGGTTAGGCCTTGTGCTCAGGGGGCTTAGAGCAATTGAATGAATTTAAGATCAGAACCAGGATTCAGTTTTGGTTGAGGGCAAAAGCTGGGGCAGAAAAGAGGGTCGTATTCTTGTGTCTTTCCTGAAAGCCAAAGACCCTGGGACAACAGGCTTTGAAAAGAGCCATGCTTGAAAAGAGCGGCTGGAATCAACCTTTTCCGGCTACATTGGTGTTTCCCAAAAGAGGGCTCCTTTTGCTTCCTCTTCTTTTCAGAATCATTCCAAGAAAATTGGGGGGGGGGGGGGCGCTATGTTTGGGAGACCCCTCTGGCGGATCCACCCTTAGAGTACCAGTGGAGAGACCTTCCCACGCGAGCTTCGGAAGGCCCCTTGACGAACTGCACCGGCTTTCCGATTCCAAAAGGGCCCTTTGAGTAGGTTCCACCGGGTGATGGTTGTAGCAAGGCCTCAACTCCTTATAGCCACTTTAGTAGAGCTTTGGTCGCTGTTCTACTGGGTTTCGACACACAACAAGCTCGATGATCCGGGGAAAAACGAGCGATTCCTCCCATGATGATGAGGTCCGTAACTTTGGATTTCCGCATTGGCTGCTGTTGCATCATAGAAATTTGCAAAGTTTCAAATGGGGACGTCCTTTTGAGCCCCAGTCTTGGTGCTTTCGGTTGGCAAATGGAAACCAACAGGAAACCACCCTTCTGAGAACTTCTGTTGGAGACTTGCTTCGCTCATGTGTGTGTGTGTGTGTGTTTTAGGGTTTTGTGGTTTTGATGGAAAACCACAGGTAAAACCACTATTTCTATTCGGCCCCCCCAATAAAGAGACACCCAAATACAAACCATTATTTTCCATCACAAACCGACAAAGAAACAGCTGGTTGAAGAGAACTAGACAACTAGACCTTCCTTTGGGCTTCGCTCAGAACTTCTTCGGGCACAATGGCCTGGCGGGCCCGTACAGAGGCATTTCCGCCGGTCCGGCGGGCGTTTTTTTCTTTGCGCCTCTGGAAATCCGCGTTGCCTGTCGCGGTTCAAAGGTAATCCTCAATCGAACCGGTCCCTTTCTAGTGGCTTAATAGGGATGATGGGTTAGGATTCGCCAACCCTCCATTTGAACCTCCAAAGGTTCAAAAAATTGTGGCTTTCCTGTAAGCCATCTCGAAAAGGGTCCCTTAAGGTAAAAAGACGCACCCGCATCGAGCACACACACACACACACACAGGAGCTCAGAACGCCCCAAGAAAAACCATCTATGGTTTCCTGTTCCTAAAAATCCCCCAAAACGGGTTTATTCCCAACACCCGGAAGGTCATTCCCTCATCGCAGCAAGAGCCGGCACACGGAACTCAACGAAAGTTCGATGAGGTCGTTGCGAGGTGGGGAACCTTAGCTGCTGGATGTGGGTGTGTCTTTGGTTTGCTTTTTTTTTTCTCACAGGAAATCAAGTGGAAAACATTCATTTCGAGGGTTCCCCCCAAAGAGCCGCAACCAAGGAGAGTTTCTCCCCCAAGTCCAAAAGAGTCCTTTCCAAGCCAGACCTCAGACCCCAGAGACGCCGAGTTTTGATGCGGGAACTATTATTCGAGGATCCCCGTAGAGTTGCCATGTCTTGTGGTCGATTCCTGATAGATTTCGGGCCCGGAATAGGTTTTGGAGTTCCCCTCCAGCTGTGAATCCCCTAAATCGGACACTACACCCAACCAGCGGCCTGTTGCCCACTTGTTCGGTCGCAGCCTCATCGTTTTTGTTTCGCTTCGGAAATCGCAGTCGTTGGTAGATGTGTTCATTTCAATACAAACGCAAAACAGTTTGAACTTTGTGGCCAACTCAACAGTAAGATCATTGTTTTCAAATTTAGAAATGAGCATGCTTAACCCATGAGCCAAATGCTGTGTTGCTCGGAATTGCACACCAGGCAGTTTTACTTGTTTTCTCCTTTTTACCCCAGCGAAAGTAAAAAGGAAAGTCAAGCCCCAAAATCAATATTGTTTCGAACTCAGGCAGTTTTACTTTTTACTGCTCCTTGTAAGAAAAGTGAGCAAACAGAAAGGTAATACTGTTTAATTCACAGATAGTAATAAGCTCAGGTGACATCCCCAACAGCATGCGGTGCTCTTTTTAGTGCTCGCACCACCTCGCAGCCCTCGCAGAACCTGGTGGAACCACGGTGGAACCTTGGTGGAACCCTCGGGGAACCTTACCTCAGGGCCGCCCCGGACCACCCCTGTCAACCAGTACAGTGTTTGTTTTTATTTGGGGCGGTTGTACAGTTGTTTTTTCCTTTTGATTTTTTCACGGGTCCAACAGTCTTATTGCTTTGTGTGTTTGCCTGTGCTGGGAAAAGCAAACAATTCAAACTGCCTGAGGCAAAACAGACAAACACGTGTCACTTTTGACATGCTGATCATCTATCACGGCTTCAACCGTGTTACATGTTCTTACGTAAAACACAAGGAACTTATATAGACCACGTTTTTACTTTGGCCAGTTTCACTTTTACCTTCTTCCGAGGCCGGACGTTTTGCCTTACTTGGTGCACACGGTGTTTTCCTGGTAAGAGTCACTTGCGAGATATTTGCGGATTTTTGTAACTCCCCTTGAGTGGGCGCCACTCCAGGGCTTGGCAGCCTCAAGTGGTCCCCGGTGGAGTTCCGTAGGAATTTGGTTTGGGGGGACGCCCATCCCCTCAAAAGCCATGGCCTTAGCTTTGGAGGGTTTCCAGTACACCAAAGTTCTCGATTTTTTTCGCAGGGGATCGAAGGGAGGCCCCAGTTCCTATGCCGACTTTTGGCGTTTTGAGCCCTTTTCCAGGGGTGATCAGAGCCTCGCCGACAAAAGACGGAACCTCTTGATGAAGTCGTAGGTAATAAGGTAAAACAGCCAGTGGACAAGTATGTCAACACTTTAGCTTGTGATTCAATTGTGTCACTTTGTTGGCTCTACGAGGCGGCAAACCCCGGGTGTTTTTTGGGGCAGGGCCTATTTATACCTATTACGCATACTACATATTGTAATTATTAATAGGGTGGTGTATTTTCTGGAGGGTGCCCTGCGCAGCTTTGGAGCGGGCCAGTCCCCTGTATGCACCTGACTCTGGAGGGTGCCATGGTTTCAAGGAAGTCAACACAAACGAGAAAACCTTTTGTTTGTTTGGTTTGTTTGGCGTGGGGCGTGTTCCGTATTTTGGAGACAACCAATGCAGTCCCCCGGTGGCTCGGAGCCCTTTGTTGCCAGGTGTCGCCCGCCTGGGCGGTGAGTTCAACCTGGACGGCTTCTTGGACGTTTCGGCTGGTTTGCGCGTCCCATCTTTGGACCTAGAGTGGCGGTTTCAATGGAGCACACCAGCGAAACAGATCAACTTTTTAAGTGGAAATTTCCAGGGACCCCTGAAAGAAGTATGGTCAAAAGTCGTGAATTGCTCACAAACAGCGAGAGGGATATGTATGTCCTTGAGGAGAAACTCGTAGTCTTGACCATTGCTCAAGTGATGTGCCTAGTTTTAGTAAGCGGTTCTACTTCCCAGTTTGGATGGAATTGTCGTCAGGCCTACAACCTGTGGGGCTACCCTTTTGGCCCCGCTAAACGGAAGTCAAAAGGAAGCCAACCACTTGTAGGGCTCCCTCGTTTTGTGACGAACCCATGAAATGTGCATGTTGGTAGAACCAAAAGTCGGCGGAATTGGGCACTGTTCATTACACCGGACGATATGTGCTGCGATCGTCAACGCCGAAAAGAGGCGGGGTAAACGACGTCTATACAATGGTGACCTTGGTTCAAATGTGCAAGAGGGGTTGGAACCTGCTCTTTGGTGACATGAGCTCATTGCCCCCCGCGGCCCCTGTGTGAGCCCAACGTGAGCCAACCCCCGGTTGAGTTGCTTAAATCCGGGTTCAAAGGCCTGAATCATCCTGAATCTAAGCCAAATTGCCCATGCTGTTTCCAGTGGAACCAAGTTGCGATTGAGTCGTTGCTGTTGCGACGGGTTGTACATTAATTGCCAGACTTCGCCTTATGTGTGTGTGTGTTGCATGTTGTTCTTTGCCTTGAACCGTAATTATGTGGGAGTCGTTCTAAATTGCCAGTCTTAAAATTAAGCAAAGGCCGGCGAAAGGGCCGTTTCCAGGAACTTTCATTTCGAACAGCCCCCAGGTGTTTTTGTGTTTTCGCTGCTTTCAGTCATGTTCCGTTTGCTCGCGTTCTCTTCAGCTTCCCTTCCCAGGCGCTCCGGATGAATTCAGGGCCCGGCTTTGAGGCCCCCGAAAAACATCTCCGGGGTGAGTCGTGGAGGGCCGTCCGCCATTGAAAGGTTCAGCCTCTGGGCTCGTTTCAAACCGTCGGCTTGTTGGGGTGTTGGCCAAGCGAGGCTCCGAGTGGGTCATGCACGCCAAATCTGGCTACACTGCGTACCGTGTGCCCGTGGCAACGGCGGCAGACTACTACCATGTACAGAAGCAGGCGAGGGTGGGACCCAGGATTGGTTGCAAAGTGGGTTTACAGAGGTGCATGTTGCATGGATGTTAGGACTTTAACTGTTTGCCAACTAATGGTCTTTCCATTAAACCACTAAAAGTCAAACTTTTAGCAGGGGAGCAGAAAGCAACCGAGATACTCTGGCCAAGCTAAAATGGGAGTGACTTGTTGCTTCAAACAATGGGTGCTTCATGCTGCTTCAAACATTTTTGGCCGTAGCCGGAAAGCTTCAGCCTTCACCTACAGGGGCGCTTAAGCTTCAAGCTGAAGCATGTAACAAACCTGAGATAAAACGGGTTGGCCGAACCTCTGGTGGCACCATCTTGGGGGCTGGATCCATCGGATGAGGCCCTGTTCATGTGTGGTATTTTTGTGCATGCCAGATATTGAAGCAAGGAACTGGTTGGGTTTCTCGCCGCTTTTTTGGTTCCATGCGAATTTGTTGGATTTCTTTCTCACTTGACCAAAAGGACCTGAAACTAAAAGGCTAAGCTTTTGGGACCTTTACTAGTGGACCAAAAGATAAGCTTTGATGTTTTGTCTCGCCCCATTCATCAACGAACTGATTTGTCTTGGGCTTCTGGATTTAAACTTGCCCATGACTTCAAGCGAGACCAGATATCTTTGGGAGAAGCAGACCATTACGCGCGATCTCAGATGTTCAGTGGTATACTTTGCCTTAGTTGAAACCGGCCAATGCGCTCAGCGGCAGGCTGGCCGCAATGAGACGGCCATCGCCCGCAATTTTCAGCGCTGCGCCTTAGTCTGCAGGCAATTGCTCAAAGGGTAGTTTGAACCATACACCCAAAGCCGCACTTCCCTCAAGTTGGCGCAAGGAATCCCACCAATGTCGATCTGGGAGTAGCCCACTGCCCGCAAAGCTTCAACTCAGGTCAAAAAAGGCGAGCCTTGGGAAACCTCCGAACCCGTGCATGGATCAAATGAAGCAATCTACAAGAGTTGTTTTTGGGCTTTTGTGGGATTCCGAACGGTGTTCTGGGGTGCGAATTCGAGGTTTTGGTAGTACATGGCACAAGTTCCCCATGGCCCTCCAATGGCGTGTCCTCCCCTTCAATTGTCCACATGGACCTAAATTCAAGAACCAGAGGGAACCCAGGCATTTCGGGGGTCTCCCATTTTCAAACAGCACCCACATCCACCGGACTGGATAATTGCGCCATCTACTGTCAGGTGCATTGCGCGACCAAATGGCTTACTCAGCTGTAGGGACCCACCCTTTAATCTCCATAAGTTGAAAGCTAAGTAGGGCAAAGCATTGGAGAAAGTGTGTCCTTACTGTCTCAGAGACCAATGTCCTCGGGTGTGTGTGTCTTCGTTTTGGAATCGGACTGCCCCTCAAAATGGTGGTTCCCTTGCCTTTAAAGCCAAACATGGGTCTCCTTAACAAAAGGACGCACCCTGCCGGGGTCGACTCTGACGGCAGAACCGAAACAGATCTGAGGCGTTTACCGACAGATTTATCGGGTTCGGGAGGCGCTCTCTCGCACGCGACCTGGTCAGCAGTGGGCCGCTTTTGCTTTGGGTACCTGGAGTCTCCATGACCCTTAGAGGTCATTACCCCAAAGAAAGCGGTCAGGGGTCATGGCCCCATTTTTGAGTCGAGGAGGCCCCGGTAGGTGTTTTTGGAGGCGTGTCCTTTTTATTTGTTTTTGTTTGGGGAAGCCAAATGGACAACTAGGCCATCCACGGTGGGGGGGGTCCCTATTTGTTTGAGTTTGCTTGGCCAAGAGATGTCTCTGATGTTTTTGTTTTGCGATTCTTGCAGAAGACTTCGTCGTTTGCTTACTGCTTGGTTGAGGGAAAGTGACTGTTTCCCCGCTAGACAATTGTCAAACGGTTTACCAACGTGTTTTTTTTTCTGGAGATTGGGCGATGGTAGAAGGGGAGAGTGCAGAACCCTGCCCTTCCGTAGTTTGCACTGTGCACCTTGGGTTCTCAGACTGCCATATGCATTTTGTTTGAAGGACATCGCAACACCTCGATGTTGGGGGGCTGTATTGACTATTTCTAAGCAGTGATCAACATTGTTGGTGGTTTCCAGCCATCCCTTTGCTTCTTTTTTTGTTTGTTTTGTTTTAGGTTTAACTAAACCACTAAAAGTAGACCTTCAGCAGGGATTTGACAACTGCCCAGCACTAATTCAGCGGAGCGGCATTGCGGCAAGTGCACTTAAGGCCCTTCGCTTTCCGGTGCCCCAGATCTGAACATATTGGGGGTGAACATACTGCGGTGGCTTTTTTTTGTGGGTTTAAGGACAAAGCAAAGGGAAAACAAACCATTTTGGAATCTCCCCTTAACAGGACTCCCTCATATTGCCGTCGCTTTGCCAAACACGATGGGAAGTGCATGACTTCTTCGCCTTTTTCGCTTGTGCTTCATGTTCCCGTTCTGTAGCAAAATATAAAACACAGCTGAACCCCGAATGGGATTTGAGCCAGGATCAGGTAGGGCGAAACAGATTAATACAGTCATCAGGATATTTGGCGTGGAATATCCCAGCGTGGCATTTGTAAAGGCCCCAGCGTACACTTCATGGATCCTCTGTTCTTTTCGACGCCGAGTATCAGGAAACCGATAAGGCGCGAGCCTTCCTGGCAGTCTCAAGCACTCCGGGTTGACATGGTAAACAAGCTCAGTGCCAAGCTTTGACTCAAATGAGTCAGGGCTTTAAGCTGTGGACACAGCCCATTTTTGGTGGTTCCCCCAATTACTTTGGACAAAACACATTAGCACCAGGTGGGTGATCGATCTCAGGGTTTCATCAAGTTTCATCCATCCCAACTGGTCCACAGTAGTTTCTCCTTCGAGCCATCTCAAGCATTGCCCTGTGGAGCAATCAGCGAGTTTCCTATGGGTTGCCTTCACGAATAGGCAGACCGGGACCTGTCAAACAAACCACACAATTGTCCCGGATTTGTTGTTTACACCCATTTGAACCATGGTAGAACGATGTTGTCCCCGTACGTTGCTTCAATCTTGGCCATTGACCGGTTTACCCTACTATGTATCGGTTTATCCGCTTTAACCCCCCCCCCCTTTTTGACTGACCCCGACCCCGGCAGTCCCCCCCCCCTCCACCCCCCCCCCGCCCACCCCAGCCTCAAAAACGCCGCTGGAGGTTTTGTTTCCTGCGGCGGCACTTCGGGGTCCGGATGACCTTAGGGGAGTTCCGGCGCCTTGGCATCGAAGCGAGGGCCTCCGGTGACGCGTTGTTTTTTTGTCGGCCATTCCGGTGGCAATGAACAAGTTTCGGTTTTGTTTTGAGGACTCAGGGAGTGGGTCCCGCCGAGCTTTGCTTGTGCGAGGCCGTTCCGGATGTTCACTTTGAGGTACCCAGTTGTCTCGTGGAATGCGGGGCCCCAAACAAACCGGGGCTTCCGTGTCTCCTTTGGAGGTCCCTGACCGACCAGGGGAGGTCCCTGACCGACCAGGGGAGGTCCCTGACCGACCCAGGGGTGACCCGCTCCCAGCCGCCCGTTCTTTGCTTGCTCAGGTCGCAGTTAGGTTTAACTATTCAAACAAGCCACTGGCAGTAGTCTGCTATTCATTTGGAGAGGTCATGGGCTGCCTACCAAACATCCCGTATATTTTCGCACACAAAACAGAGGCCTTCTTCAATTCTCAGTTGATCCAACTGTAGGAAATATTATCCGTGGCTCATATATGGAATCTGGATCAGAAAGAGAGCGAGAATAGCAGTGGACTCTTTGGCGAACTTCGTTGTGGGGACTTCTGTCCACCAACCACTGACGCGGTTCCGAATGAAAAATCATAGCCATGCGTGACCAGCGAAACCATGAGCAGTGAAAAGGACCGATTCTGGGCCTTAGTTTCAACCCAACCCCATAAGCTCACAAGGGGGAGAGTTGAACACATCTTCGTGCGCACCCATCAGAAAATCCCTGAGGTCTCTTAGTTCTAGCCAGCACTTCCCCATACTCCACAGATGTCGTATTTCCGTGCAGCAACTCTGGAG